AAAAAAAAAAAAAACATAAACAAGGAACCTGTCCAATGACACTTGCTTTTGCCTCCATTTGAGGATTTTGTGGAAATGTGACATTGCATTATCGTGACACAGATTCATCACTCACACTGCTACAGCATTATTCAGGTGAAACTCTTGCTTGTACAAACTTTGCACTGTTTCCCACATTTTGCACATCTCCCTAATCGTACTAAAGTGAGGGGTTCCTCTGCCTTTTTCTCCTCCTCTAGAGATAAGATCTCCTCCATGATCTCTTGCTTTTGGGAGATGATCACCCACAATTCTGCAGTGAGAGATAGAGGGGGAGGAATCATTGGCTATTGGCTCAGTTATGATCATGTGACATTCAGCATCACATGCTACTCCTATTGCAAAACATTGCTCATTTATCAAGTTAAAATTTATTAGAAATGTTTGTCATCTTGCAGAACACTTGAAAAACAAGTTACAATTCAAGCTTTTACTGAATATATACAGTATAAATATATATAGTGTGTATATATATCTATATTTCCTTTCTAACGTAAATCATTTACACTTTGCAGGAAAAGAGAGTAGATTTTTGTCCCTAGTGGTACTGGGGATTGATCCCAGGGAGTGCTGAGCTACATCCCCAATCCTTTTCTTCTGCATTAGGGTAGAAGTTGCCCAGGCTGGCCTCAAATTTTGTTTTGTTTTTGTTTGGTACTGGCAGTTGAACTGAGGACTTTGCACTTGCCAGGCATGCAAGGCACCACTGAGCTACATCCCCAGCCCTTTTCATTTTGTTGTTGTTGTTGTTGTTGTTTGTTTGAGACAGGTTCTGGCTATGTAGTTCAGGCTGGCCTTGATCTCACTATGGAGCCCAGGCTGGCCTCAAACTCATGGTGATCCTCCTGCCTCAGCCTCCTGAATGCTGGAATTACAGGCGTGTGCCACTAGGCTTGGCTCTTTTTTTTTTTAAGAGTAAGAAAAATTTATTGAGAGAAAGCTTCTGTCCAAGAGACAGAAGGGGGACGGGAAAGTAGGTTGCCTTTTTTTTGAGACAGGTTTGTATGTAGTTCAGGCTGGTACTGAATGTACTGTGTAGCCCCGGCTGACCTCAAACTCAACATGATCCTCTGCCTCAGCCTCCTGAGTCCTGGGACTACAGTACAGGTCTGACATCAAAATTCCAGTTAAAAAAAAAAGCCAGCAGGGCAAGGTGGCACAAGCCTGTAATCCCAGCTACTCGATGGCAGGAGGAAGATCCCCAAGCAGCAGCTCAAGGCCCAAATGGGCAGTTTAGCAAGACCTTGTCTCAAAATGAAATCAAAAGAGTGGAAATACAACTGAATGATAAAGTGCTTGCCTGGCATGAGTGAGGGTCCTAGGTTCAATTCCTAGTATTCCAGCAACAAACAAAAAGAAAATCCACAACAGTCTGTCCTCAGAAAACGGGCTGGCTATCCCTCATCAAACATTAGGTAATACTGTAGTCGTTACCCTAGCCACTTACACCTGATACTGACAGCAAGCCCTGCCAACGGTGTAGTGGAAAGCTGGTCATAGTTAAAACAGCTCTCACACCCGTATACCTCAGGGCAAGTGAGCTTGTGGGGTTTTGTTGTTTTGAGGGGAGAGGGGCAATGTCATTTTTCACATTTTCAAAGATCGCTGGAATTTAAATTCCACTGTACAGCAAAGTGTGATGGCACATGCCTGTAATCCTAGCTACTTGGGAGGCTGAAGCAAGGGGATTTCAGGAGGACCTCATTTCCTTACTCCTCCTCCATTGACCGTTACTATGCGTCCTCTCCTTCCAGGTGATCTACTCAACTTTTCAGAACTAAGCCAGTCTGGAACTCCCTGGCTTTTGTCCCTAAAAGCCTGAATCTAAAGGGTGCCATCTCCCGAAGGCTGTTACAGCCCCAGAGGCGGAAGTCCTGGGCAGCTAGTGCGGTCAGTCTGGAGAGCAGTTTCCCGGGCTGGATCCCAAGCCCCAGTGTGAGACAAAACAAACCGAAGCTGCTAACTCATAAGCCCGTCTTTTTTTTTTTGGTACCGAGGATCAAACTCGGGACCTTGCGCTTTTGAGGCAGGCGGCAGAACCACTGAGCTAAATCCCGGCCCTTAAGCCCATCTTTTGAGCAGCTCAGTTTAAATGTTTGGCAGAGGACTTTACTGAAAGGCTGGGGAGGTTGGGGATCATTTGTCATCGCAACACACCGTTACCATAGGCAACCTGGCGTCTTCTCTCTGCCAGGGAGCAGGAGGCTAAGCGTTTCAGTGCAGAAAGTGTTGAAACAGATTTTGCATAACTTTCATCATTCTAAGAACATAAATGCAATATAGTAAAATGTCAGTGCCTTTGAAAGTAAGATGCAGATTTGCACAACTCAAGGTAAAGATCATTTACTAGTACTTTTATCATATTAGCATATCACATTAATAACTGACACTTTTTTATTACTGTTAAGAGTTACTTAAAACCAATTTTTTGTTTTGAGACAGGGTCTATGTAGTCCAGGCTGGCCTCCAAATTTACCATCCTGACTCAGCCTCCCTAGTGCTGGGCTCATAGGTGTGCACGACACCTGGCAAAACTAAACAGTGTATTTGTATTTTTAAAAATATTTCTATATATTTTTAAAACTGCACTGAATGTCTTCTAAAAGTAGAACATATACTTCTTCTGATGATAAATGCATTCAGTCTTTCCAAGATTCATTTTGGAAATTTCATGTTTTTAACAGTAGGGGAAGTAAGTTCCTCCTAGTTAAATCCTTGTTAGGAGGATGTAAAATCCCAGGTGATTACCTGGCCTCCTGGAGCAGAGAGGCATAGGCACAGCCACACCGAAAAGCCAGAGGGCACTATTGCTGCTGCCTTCCCCCAACAGCATGGCATCATAAGGAGGACAACTAAAATCACCAAGGGAACTGTTGCAAAGTGGTCATTTAGTTGCTTCCTTCCCCACCCCAGTACTGGGGATCAAACTCAGGACTTTAAGCTTGCCAAGCAGGCAGAGCACCACTGAGCCACATCCCCCACCCAGGTCATTTAGTTTTTAGGCCAAAGTTAAGACTGGTCACACAGTGTTTCCAGCGGGCCTCCTGTGACAGGACAGCAGCCCGCTGTGAAGGGCCTGGCCGCGTACTCATCTGTGCCCCTCTGCCTTCCGCTAGGCCACAGCTGCAGGAGCAGCTGCCCAGTGCGAGGCTCGCTCCCTCTCCCAGAAGGGGTTCCAGCCTTCAGAGTTCACAACCTCAAGTCTCCTGAGCCCTCTCCCCAGGATGTACAAGACTACACGTACAGTAATCTTACAGGGTTCGTGGACCCCAAGGCTCCTACAGCTTCTGAGGCACCAAGTCAAGGACTCCCTGCGTGACCAGAGCAACCCGACTGCCCAGGAACACACTTGACCCATCACAGGTGAAGGAGAGCTGGGCTGACCATGGCGACAGGAAGGGACAGTCGTTTAATTCGACAGCTTTGGTTTTGGGCCAGGAATTGGTTCTCAGAGCTCCCTGCCATTTTCATGAGAACTCAGCCAGGCAGCTGTGGACAAATGTGCAGCACTCTTCCCCCAGGGCCCAGGCCCTCCTGCTCCCTGGAGAGCAGCTTTACCTTTGATTTGCAGGGAGGGGCACTTCTAATTTTAGCTTGACCCTCATGGAAAAGTGGACCGTTCCATTTCTCTTTTTAAAGTATCTTAATACTGGGCAGTTAGGCCAAGTTCCTTGGAATCCCCCTGCCATTTCCCTTACAAATGCAATCTTCCCTACCTCTGAAATCCCACCTCGAAGAGCTGCCTCACAAGTCTATCTCCTCCAACAGCAGGTGCCCCCCCCCCCCGGGCTCCCAAGGATTCCTTCCTCGAGGGAAGGGAAGGGGACTCCCCCGAAGACCGACAGGCAGGGTGAAACGCGGCTGTCAGCTGTCCCCACTTGTGAGCTGCCAGATTAGGTCTATACTTTTGTTAATAGACTTGAACGGCCATCAAGAGGCAGAACTGAATCTTAAGCTTCTGTATGTGGCCACTTTCCACTCCCCAAGCACCCAATACTCTTTCTCCAGCGTGGAGAAAAACAAGGCACTAGAAAACAAGCACATTTACATCTTTATATTTTGCCTGAACTGCATACTGTAGCATACTAAAACCCATTCAAGGAAAAAAAAATGGCAAATTAATAAGTTCTTTCTTAGAAACTTATGACTGAGACTGACCACTTTAACGATTTCGTTGCCAGTCTTCAAAAGTGCCCTAGCATAAATCAATCTTTTGGGAAGTAGCTCTACAAATGACACTGAAACTACGTTACATTTACAAATATTAAATTTATTATAACTAGGATGAATTTAATGGTTCTCAGATTTGGCCACCTTATAGCTCCGTTTAAGGAGGGGATTTTTTTTAAAACAGAAAAATGCATTCTAACTTGGTCAAATTACACACTTTAAAAAAAAAAAAAGGCTCCCTAAAAGAAAAACGAGAAAAGCAACCCTTCAGTTTCACATAATTAAAGAAGAGGAGGAAGCACGAAGCTACATCACAGCGAGGTCTGCCGGCCGCCCGCGCCCGCGCCGTCCCCGGGGCCCGCGGCCCTGGCCCTAGCCGGCGCCCTAGTCCTGCTCAGGCGCGCGGGGCCGCTCGCTCTGGCGCAGCAGCTGCAGGTTCTCGGCGCGCAGCCGGTCCAGCTCCAGCTCCAGCTCCCGCACGCGCGCCTCGTCGCCGCCCGGCCGCCGGCTTTCCAGCCGCAGCCGGTTGTTCTCGTCCTCCATGCGCGACAGGCACTTCTCCAGCTCCAGGTACTCGCGGATGAGCTCCTGCTTGCTCATGTTCTGCAGGCTCTCCGCGTGGTAGCGCTCGTACGTCTCTGAGAAGTCCCGCTGCAGGAACTCGCCGCCGTCGCCGCCCATGCCGTCGCTGCCACCGTCCTCCTCGCCCGCCTCCTCCACGAAGTCCTCGTCGCTGCTGTCGGACTTGGCGGCGGCGCGGCGCGGGCACAGACCGGTCTTGAGGTCGGGCTCCTCCTGGTCGTGGTCGTCCATGAGGAACTGCGTGGTGTTGTAGGGCGCCACCGGCTGGCCCTTGGCGAACATCTCGGCCCGCACGCGCGAGGCGCGCAGGCTCTGCCGCTCGTCGAACTTGCGCTTCTCTTCCCAGCTCAGCTTGTAGTACGGCTTCCAGTGCCGCTTCTTCTTGGACGGCCGCCGCCGGTGCTTCTTCTTGCCCAGCTGTCGCTGCTGCGGACCCCACGCTGTCCTGGGGGCCTCGGCGTCCGGGCCCGGGGGCGCGGGCGGCTCGGGGCTGGGTTCGCCGTCCGCGCCGGCGGCACCGGCGTCGCCCGCGTCCTGCAGGGGCGCCCGGCTGCCCGTGCCCCCCGGGGGCGAGGCCCGCGAGCGCCACCTGCCGTCGCCCTCGGGCGTGCCTGGGTCAGCGCCGAGGGGCCGCGCGGGGCCCGGGTCGCCGGCACCTGCCCCGGGGTCGTCCGCGGGCGGCAGCTCCGACGGCAGCAGCTCGGCCATGGCCGGCGGCGTCTCCTCGCGAGGCGGGGCGCGCGCGGGGCCGGGTCCTACGGGGCAGAGGCTCGTCCTGTCCTCCCACACAGCGTCCCGCACAGTCGTCCTCCGCCTGACAACTCCGGATGCGCCCGGGCGCTCCCGCCGGGAACGGGGCAAGCGGCGCGGTGCGGGGCGGCACGGGGTCGCGCGCGGGCGCAGGCGTTGCGCCGGGCCCCTCTGAGGTGGCGGCGGCCGGCGGCGAGGTCGGCCCGACGGCGGGACCCGGCCCCGAAGGGGTTAACGCCACCGATGACGCCGCCCCGAGAGCCCAGCCCACAAAGGGTTAAATCCCCTGCCGCAGAGCGCGCAAGGGGTTAAAGTCCCGGCACCGCCTCCTCCCACTTCCACGGGTGTCGCTCCGATCCGCGCGCCCAGGTCCCTAGGCCCGGCCAGAGCCTCAGCCGCGGACAGACAAACTCATCTCCCTCTGGCCGACGCTTGCTCCGTTCAGTCCTCCGCCTCCTCCCTCCTCCCCTCAGACGGCTCCTCTTCCGCCTCCTCCCCGAGTTCCCTCCCAACCTGCCTCTCCACCTGCCAACTTCCAACTGCTGCCTCCCAACACTGTGCGCCCCTTTTATACAGCAGACCGCTCACGCCGCCCGTGCGCATGTGTAACTGAGGCCCCGCCTCGGGAAGCTGGGAGTCGTAGTCTTCATCTTTCAGGCCCGCCATCTCAGCGCGCCGTGCGACGTAGCCAATCTCGGGACGCGTAGGGGGCGTCTCCCGGGCCACCGCTTTCCACCGCTCGCCCTTCGCTGGACCAACAAGGGTGACCATTGGCCGAGAGTCGCGCGTCACGGAGAAGGAGGGAGGCCAATCACAGAGCGGAGGGGGCGGGCTCTGGACCGTACCATTTTGCCTCGGAACGCGAGGAAATTCCACGGCCTACGTGAGCCCAAACAGCATATTTTTATAAAAAGGTACATTTTAAACATTGTGTCCTATTCTGTCCTCAGCGGAAGGGTTCTGACGGCCTTAAGCACTTCTTAATGAGAGCAAAAATGGTTCATTCCTAAAAAGTAGTCCCTGAAACGTGAACGAGGACCGAGCCCACGGAGAGGTGTTGGGCGGCCGGAGGTACCTTCCGTGCTGCCCGGTGCGGCCTCCGCGCCCGGCCCGGCGCCGCGGAAGGATACGCAGTCGTGTAGAAGCCGAGAGCGCACGCAGAAGTAAACAAATGAAAATAAAACGTGCCGCCATAAAGGGGTAGCGTGGCCGCGCTCGGTGCCCGACTGGCGCCCAGGCCTCTGCGGCGGGCGATTCGCGTCGGGGCCCGGGGCGAAGGGCCGGTCCCCGAGGAACGTGCCTGCGAGCGCCCGGGGTCTGGGGCGGCGGCGCTGGCGGGGCCTGGCGTGTGCCTCCTGCATCCATGGGCGCTGGCGGGGCTGCTCCCGCCGAGGGTCGTCGCCCGGAACCTGGGGGCTCGCGCAGTGCGGCCCCGGTGTCCCCACCGCCGCGACGCTGCCCACGCGGCCCCTGCGGAAGGCCGAGTGACTCGGCCAAGGTCACATGACGCCGGCGGCTGGCCGCAGGGCTAAGTGACCCCAGGCCGTTCTTTGTCACCAACCCAAGGCCCTGTGTTTTCCGAGAGTTCCGTTTGGATTCTTTACAATCCCGACAGCTTCGCTCTAATGCAGGCCCAGCTTCCTCGGTCACCAAATTGTCACTCTGGCCTCCATTGCTTGGACAGGCCGCCGAGCATGGTGCTTGAGACGTTCCCGCAAGGCCGGGAGCTTGGGAGCAGGCTGCTTGCCCTCCTCTGCAGGATGAAGGATTTTCAGGCACAGTGGCCAAAGAAAGGCATTTTACTTTAATTTTTAGAGATAGGGTCTCCATCTCGCCAAGGCTGGTCTCAAACTCCTAGCCACAGCAGTCCTCCTGCCTCAGCCTTCCGAGTAGCTGGGAATGTGAGTGCATCTCACTAGGCTACCCAAAAAAGGCCCTGTATGCAGGCCAGTGATGGGGAGGAAGCGGGAGCTCGGGTGGGAACTCTTGGCAGTGGGTGCAGCAGGGGTGACGTTCCCTGCTTTGGGAGTGACTGTCGCAGCCTGTGTCCATGGCTTCTGAAAAGCCTGCCCTTCTCTGGCCCTTCTCTCTCACTTTGAGACGCCCAGCAGGCAAGGGTTGAAGAGGGTCCCTGTGGGAACTTGCCCAGGAAGTCAGAGCCCGCCACTGTGGCCCCGAGTTTTAGGGTTCAGACTCAGTTTTCCCAGTCAGGGATTTGGAAGGTGTGGCAGAACGAGCCTGTTTACCAGCCCGGGCTCAGCTGTAGGTCTGATTTGTTATCTGGGGGAGAGGCAATCGGACAGGCCGTGGAATTCTAGAATTCTACAAGGGGCTGGGCAGGTGCCTGTTAGCTACATTCTGCCCTCTGAAGCATTCTACACATCCAGCCACTGTTAAACCCCAGGGCTGCACATGTTGGAGGACTGCATCTGCTTTCTAAACCAGGCAGCCCAGGCTCAGAGTGAGGAATCTTGCCCACTCAGGGGCATGATGGTACAGACCCATAATCCCATCATTCTGGGAGGCTGAGACAGGATGACTGTAAATTTGATCTCAGACTGAGCACTTTAATAACCCTGTCTCACATTTTTAAAAGGGCATGGGGTGGGGATGTAACTCAGTTCAAAGGCCTTGGATTCAATCCCCAGTACTGTAAAAAAAAAAAATATGGAAAAGGGCCAGAGATGAAGCTCAGTGGTACCGAGCCTGCCTGGCAAGCACAAAGTCCTGAGTTCAAACCCTGGTATCAAAAAAAAAAAAAGAGAGAAAATCCAGAATCTTCCCCAGGTCTGGAACTGGCTCCAGCCCTTCTAGCTCCCCCACAGATCTGGCCCTTCTTCCACTCCCTGTGGACCACACGGGTCACAAGGGGCTTACTCAGCCTCGGTGTGGCCGTGGGTGCCTGAGGACCTGCCTCGGGTCTGTCCTGAAGGCTACCCTCCCGGGAGGCCAGGACAAACACCAGGCCCAGGAGAATGGTGGCTAGGACGGCCACACCCAGGCAGGCGGCAGGCCAGGAGCCTGAGGGTCTCTAGCTGGGGGGAACTGGACCTCAGACATCTGCTGGGACCCTGGTCAGTGGGGTTTGGCCTACCCCAGGCTGGAGCCTGGAAGCCCAGGGGCAGCAGAGTGCAGCCTGGCAGGCAGGAGGCACTAGGCCAGGGTTCCATGAAAAAGTTGGGGGCACTGGGAACAGCAGCCGTGGAGGGGCTGCAGGCACTTCTGGGGCCCAGGGTGTAGGGCGGTGGCAGCCCCTTCCATGTCATCCCCACTGCTCTGGGACCCAACACCTCCTGGGTCTTGAAGCAAAGCCCCAGGGTCCCACCCCCTACCCCAGCCCTGAGGTCACCTGCTTTGCCCAGAGGAGGGGACACGAACCACTAGACAGGGCTGTGACCTGCCACCTGCTCCACCCTCTGTGAAACCTAACGGCAGAAGCTGAAGTTTTGTTTTATTTGGTGAAACAGTCATTTGTCCTGAGCATGGCAACTGGCTGTGCCCTTTCCACCGGCTGAGGCCACTCCAAGTCCTGACTTGCCTGGCTGCCTCAGGGAGGAGGAGCAGCATCGGGGCTGGGGCCGGGGCCATCCAGCTGCCGATGGGGCAGGCGTGACCCTGGGGCAGGTGTGAGGCGAGGGAACAGCAGGTCCTGGGGCCATCAGGGGAGGAGTGGAAGGCACAGTGGGCATTCCTGGTGCTGTGTCCCTGAAGCCAGGGCAGCTCGGGGCAGCGGGCTGGGGTTCATGGCTGGAGGCCTTTCCTGAGATCACCTCTTCTGGGTCCGAAGCTGTCGCAGGAGCCACTGTGCGACGAAAGGCCACAGGAGGAAGAAGAGCAGCGTGGGAGCCGAGAGCCTGAGAGGCCAGGGCCGCAGACCTGGCTGCAAGAGGAGAGTGGGGATGGTACTGGCTCAGTGGACTGGAGGGACCTGCTCCAAACCAGGTCCCAGAACCCAGCCCACGCCTGGCCACAGCAGCCGGCATGGCCCTGTGTCCTGACAGTCGGGCCTGGAGCTGCAGGGAGGCACTGACCCTTCTGGAGGAGCCCAAGGCCCTGAGTGGGAGAGGTGGCACCGTCTCTCATGGGGACCCCAGGGCAGGGGCCAGGAAGGTGGGGGACACAGGCACCTGGCACCAGAAAGCAGGGCAGCTTCTCAAGATGAGTGAGGTCGCCATAGAACACACAACCTGAGGTGAATGGGCTCCCAGCAGCCCAAGTTGTGATATGAGAAAGCAGCTCTGTACAGCAGACTGGAATGCTGAATCTAAAATTCAAGAGTTGGGCTGGGGATGTAGCTCAGAGGTTCCGCTGCCTGCCTCGCAAGCGCAAGGTCCCAAGTTCGATCCCCGGTACCAAAAAAATAAAATAAAATTCAAGAGTCCACAACAATTCTCAAAAATAAATAAAACTACAAAGTTGAGGAGGCTTTTAAGTCAGTTCCTCACTTGAAGAATACAGGTAATCAAGGGTCAAGGCGTAGCTGAGGGGCAGAGCATGGCTCTAGGCCTTCAGTTCCATCCCCAGCACCACACACACATATAAAAAGATCATTAAAAAGAAGCATTTAGGGCTAGGGATGTAGCTCAGTGGCACCTCGCCTGCCTTGCAAGTAAGTGCAAGCTCCTGAGTTTGATCCCTGCGCGGGGGGACCCTAAGGAAAAAAAAGAAGGCATTATCCTATCATTCCATGAAGAAGCACATTTTGTTTTTCAAGACAGGGTCTCACTGCCTAATTCAAGCTGGCCTTGAACTCACTGTGCAGCCCGGGTTGGTCTCAGACGCCTCCCGAGTGCGGGATCCCAGGTGTGCGCCACTGCACCCAGCTAAGGACAGTGTTTCAAGAAAACCCAAGGTGACCAAGGAAACGACAAGAAAGTGTGGGCTAATAAATGTTACAAGAAGAATAGGAATTTTTTTTTTTGGAATATGTAATAAGATTTTTAAAATCAACATCTTGGGCTGGAGATTTAGCTCAGTGGTTCTGGCGCCTGCCTCACAAGTGCAAGGTCCTGAGTTCGATCCCCAGTACCAAAAAACAAAAACAAAATAAAAATCAACATCTTTTTGTAGCCACTAAATGATTCAGACAAAAATCATCACTTGTCAAAAACTGTGTGGCCAAGGATTTAGCTCAGGGGTTCCGGCAGCTGCCTCGCAAGTGCAAGGTCCACAGTTCGATCCCCGGTACCAGAAACAAGAACTGTGGGACATAAGGCTGATGAGGAACATCATCATGATGAGGGCTCCATTACCCCGCGTCCTGTCCCTTGGTACCCAGCGCATGCCAGAATCCCTGTCCCCTGCCACAGGCAGCCGCCTCCATCGCTGGCCGGGCCAGAGCACTTGGCTGGACCACACCCGCGCTCCAATCCAGTGTCCAGTCCACAGGAAGGGCCCTGTCCGGAGGATGCGTGGGGGCGTACCCTGAAGCCCAGACATTGTCCTGGGCCTGGCCCAGCCGGCCACCAGGCCAGCAGCAAGGGACAGGCCTGGTTTTAAGGGACACGGCGGGGGGGGGGGCTCGTTCGCACAGAGCTGGTCTGGCCCTGGTCCTGAACCCGCAACTCCTCATCACACAACATCGATGAAGGACCTCCGAGGACGAGGGCCCAGGCGCAGGGCAGCATCCCGACTGGACAGACAGCAGCCGGAAAAGGCAGTTTCAGGACAAGAAAGGAAATCTGAATGTGGACTAAGTGACATTTAAGAATTGACTGTGTGGTACAAAATGTCATGAGTTTTTGTTTTTCATTTTTTTCTTGATTTTGGTTTTTTTGAGACAGAATCTGGCTATGCAGTTCAGGTTGGCCTTGAACTCACCATGTAGCCCAGACTGGCCTCGAAGTCACACTGATCCTCCTGCCTCAGCCTCCTGAGTGCTGGGATGACGCGTGTGCAGCCCATGCCCAGCCTTAAAACGTTTTGGCTAGGTAGCAGAATGTTCTTATTTTGAGAGATATAAACCCAAGTATTTCAGGATGGAACATCAGGGTATCTGTAATCTAATTTAAAATCTTTGGCATTTAAAATTGGTAAAAGTTGAAAAGAAGGAAAGGAAAGGAAGTGGGGGGCCGTGTCGAACCCCCTCCTCGGCGGCTCATCCAGGGTGCTCAGCAGGTCAGGGTCCCAGAGAACCCCACCAGCAGAAGCTTGGCCCTCTCTGCTCCAGCTACCCCAGGATTCTCAAGAATAAAACCTCCAAGGGCCGGGGATTTAGCTCAGTGGTTCTGGCGCCTGCATCGCAAGTGCAAGGTTCCGAGTTCAATCCCCAGTACCACACACACACAAAAAAGAGTAAAACCTCCAAGTCTGGCTAAGGGGAAGCGGGACCTGGACCACCCCAGCCCAGCAGTTCCTGCTCATAATAATAACAGCGTGAGATTGGACCCTCCAACCCCGAGCCCGGAACCTCGAAGCCTGCACTATCCCAACCCTGCCACGACTCGAGTCACTCAACGTCAAGGTGCGTAGTTTCCCCATGTGCACAGGGAGATGAGGGGACCCATCTACCTCCAGGCCACCGTGTGGCTGCCAGGGCCCTAGCACGAGCTGCTCGGACCAAGTCCACAGAGCCAAGGTGTCAGGGTCAGGAGGGGCTGGACTGTTGGGGTAACCTGGGGACAGCGAGGACTCCCCTTCCTCCCCTTCCTCCCCTTCCTCAGGCTGGGGGCCACCAGCCCTGACCTCCTTGTCCCCAACAGAAGCCACGGAACCCTGGGCTCTTGGAAGCACAGGGACAAGGACGAAAATGGCTTGGTGAGGGGGAGGGGAGGCCTCACCTGCACAGGTGGGCGGGGCTTGCTCTCCAGGCTGTGCAGCCGGTCCCGGACGTCCTGCATGCTCACCTGCAGGGCCCGCACTGTCCCCACCAGCCATGTGTCCAACTCCTGGGGCCCCCGTGGGTCACCCCCCAGCTCCGCTGCAGAACAGATATGTGGGAAGGGGACCTCAGAGAGTGCTCATGAGGGCACGGGTGGGTCAGCATGGGGACAGGGCAGGGAACAGGGCCAGCGATGGGCTGCCAGGGTGGGGTTGGTCACATGAGCTGGGGACTCAGGCAAATCTGTGACTTCTGGGGTTGGGGTCCCCTCGGCGGCAGACACTAGCAGAGCAGGTGGAGGCCTGGATTCACTCCCAGCACCACAGGAGACTAAACAGAAAAGTGGACAAGATGCTGTCCTCCTTGCAGGGCTGCCCACCAGGAGGAGTGAAGGTTTAACGTTTATGAAAGTCCCCTTTGGGGACTCAGCACTCAGGACTCTCCAGAGGGGACAGGGCAGGACTCATCACCATCCTTGGCCTCTCGGAGGGGCACATGCGGTCCCCGCCCAGCACTCGAGCACCCAAGGACTCCACTCTCCCAGGGCAGCTCTGGGAGGGGCAGGGCAGAGACTTTGTCCATCCAGGCCGATGTCTACTGTTTGGCAACCCTGCCTGGTCGGACTGCTCCCCCAGGGCCCATGCTGGACTTTCGCCTTCACCCCAAGAGGGCGCTGAAGGAGGCCCGGAGAAGGGCAGGGGGTGAGAGGTCCCAGCTCACCCTTCTCCATGGGGGGCTCAGGGCTGGTCCCGGTCTCAGGGTCTCCTCCTGCCGCTCCCCTCTGCTGGGTCCAGACCTGAGTAACAAGGTGAGGTGGAACAGGTGCAGCTCCTGGGCTGGGGAGGGGGAGGCAGGGGGGGTCTCACCAGGTCTGGCTCAAGCTGCTCCAGGCAATCACAGAAAACCTCCAGGTCCAGGTCTCTGGGATTCTGGGACTCTGGGGAGCAGGAGGTGGTCACTGGCAAGAGGGGCCTTGGGGAGGGTGTGTGTGGCTGGGCAGAGGCAGGAGGGGCATTGCTCCACTGGGCACAGGGGTCTCAGGCTGACCCTGACCTTTGGGAGCAGGAGGCACAGAGGGCACAGCACGGCACCCAGACCTCTCCTCAGCCCCAGCCTGGGCCTGGCCCTCCTGCCCACCCACTGACCTGGGCCTGGGGGTGCTGGTTCCTTGGGGAAGCAGGCAGGCCCTGGTACAGCCAAGTCGTCACTGGGAAGCACCTGTTCTTTCCAGCCTGTGCAGGCACAGCACACAAGGCTGGGGCCAGGACAAGGCTGGCACTGCCTGTGAGATCTAGTCCCTTGTCCCCAAGAGGCAGGACTGGCTGGGGTCCTTGCCAGGACATGGTCAGAGCCTTCTGCCCCAGCCCCCACCGAGCACACCCAGCCTGCACCTGAGGCAGCTGAGACCTGGGACCTGACCTGTGACCCTTCTCAGGAAGGCTTCCGGGGGCCTCGGCATGTTCGGGATCACCTGGTACAGGGGTGCAAAGTAGGCGAACGCGTCCTCCGCCACCTCTCCCAGGGGCACTGTGTCAATCACCTGGGGGAGGGCCCTCATGAGGAAAGGGCCCGCCTGTCCCTGTCTCACACCCCCTGCACCCTTGGCCACCAGGCAGGCCAGGCTGAGGGGAAGCAGCAAGCGGTGACCCAGGGAATCGGTGCTGGGGACGGAGAGGCGGCGCTGGAGGGTGGGGGACGCCTCGGAAGCGCAGGGACCACGGGGCCGGCCCTCCTCACCTTCTGTGCCACCAGCTTCACCTCAGCGACATAGGCGGACATGGCCTGCGCTCTGCTCATCCTGCCCAGGCTGTGCCAGGCGTCCCTGGGGACAGAGAGCAGTGAGGAGGCGGCCAGCGGAGGGTGCACTTACTAGGGACGGGGTGCTCACCACTTGTAGCGTCCGATGGGGTCCCAGAAGCCAGGCCTCGGTGCCAGGCAGGGCCCCAGGGTGGCCTGCTTGTAGTAGCTGTAGAAACGAAGCATCTCCTCGTAGGAGGGGCGGTAGGAGCCTGCGCAGGGTGAGGAACAGTGCACTGCGTCACCCAGGCCCGAGGACACGGTCAGGGGTCACTGGGGGGCAGATGTTGGGGTCCCACCCGAGGCATCTGGCCCAGGACAGCCTGCACGCGACCCCATTGGCGGCCGCGGCCTCACCTGTCCGGGGCAGGCTCTGGATGACGCTGACCGCGGCCCGGAACTGCTCGCGGCAGGCAGGCTCGGGGCCGCCTCGCTCGGTGCCCATGCGCTTGGTGCCCGTGCGCGGGCCGCGTCCTTCCTCTTCCCGGGGGGCAGCGGGGCCTCAGGACGCGGGAGCAGGTGTCAAGGGTCGCAGGTCCAGACGCGTCCTCGACGGAGCCGCTCGGGTGCCCATCTCCAGCTCCGAGACAGAGCGAGCGAGGGCGTCAGGCGCCCAAACTGCCCCGGCTGGCTCCGCCCCGCCCCGAGACGGCACCCCCGGCGCCTGGTCTCGGTCCCAGCGGGCCTCGGGTCCAGCCTGGACCGGCCGGGTCCCGCCGGGAAAGCTCAGCCAATGAGAGGCACCGTTTCACAGTCGGCTTCTAGGCAGCAACCACTCAGCACGGCCCTTTCAAGATTATGCAAATCTTTCGCCAGGCCAAGCAGGGGTCCCGCGCTACAGCGCCACCAGTGGACGCGCCGGAGCGCGCGGGTCCTCACGCCCCCTAGTGGAGCGACGCGGGCCCGCCTGTCTGAGCGCCCAACCTGGCTCTTCTGACCCGAGCCGAGTTTGGGGACTCGGGAAAGCGGAGGGAGGTCACCCCGGGGAGGGACCGTAGGGTTGGCGCGGGGTCTCGGAGTCCGGCGGGGCCCCCAGGTCTCCTAGGTCACGGCTTTCGCTGGACTCGCACCGCGGCCCGTGATCCCAGGCTCCAGGTCAGGGCCAGGCCCGCCCTCTGGGCCGTCACCGCCCCGCCCTCGGGTCGCACGGTCCAGCCCAGGCCTCCGGCGGGAGGGGGCGGGAGGGGGCGGGAAGGGGGTTGCTGCGCCTCTCGCACTCAAGGCACGGCTGGTGACCCAGAGTCCAGGGCAGGCCCCGCCTATGAACATTTCCCCGCCCCTACGGGCATGGCCCCGCCCCGCCCTGCTTCTCCCGCCCCATCCGTCCCTCGCCCCCCTGTCCGTCCCTCTGCCGCTCCCCTCCCTGCCTCTCCTCCCCGTCCCACCCCCGTCCCTCCCTCCCCCGCCCTCGCCCCGCCTCCTGCCCCTCCTCCCGATTCTCCGGGCTCCGCTGCCTTCGTTCGCGACCGCACAGAGCCGGGGCCGGGCCGGAGCGCTGTCCCTCTGTCCCTTGCCTCTCTGTCCGCCTGTCCCCGCCATGCTGTGCGGCCGCTGGAGAAGGGCCCGCCGCCCGTCCGAGGAGTCCCCGGCGCCCGCCAGAGTCACTGCGCCCCTCGAGCTCCCGCCGTCGCCGGACCACACTGCCCCGAGGCCGGGGTCGCGCGCCCTGAAGAAGATGGGTTAGTGGGGGACCGCAGGGATGGGACAGGGAACCTGATGGGCCACGGCCCGGAGCTCGCACCGCCTCAGCCGGGGTCGCCCACTAGGAGGCGCCCGCGGGGCGCAGAGGGGTCGCGAAAGGAACTGGCCTCCTCCGCGTACCTTCGCAGGGGGAGCTATGCTCTCTCGGCCCGGGACCCGAGCAGGGCAGCGCCGGGGTACTGGAGTCTCTGGTGACACCACCGAGAGCCCAGGGTCCCCAACAAGTCTGGGGGAAGCGGTCCGGTCCGGCCCAGGGCTGAGGTCCACATTGGAGAGTCCTGCAGCCGCGACCCCACTGCAGGTCCAGGGCCTCGGGCTGGGAATTTGTCCCAGCGCACAGCGTGTGGGCCACCCAGGCCTGCCACGTGGCTGGGACCCGGGATCTCTGCACAGCAGGGTGCAGGGCCAGGGTGCCTGGGTGCGTTTTGTTTGTGGGTTTGGTTTGGTTTGCTTTTGGTTTTATTTTGGTACTGGGGATCGAACTTGGGACCCTGCGCCTGGCGGCAGAACCCCTGAGCTAAATCCCCGGCCCAACCTGGGTGCGTTTTATAAAACATAAAGCACAGCTGCCTGTCCAGCAGCTGCAGAGGCTGAGGCGGGAGGATGAAAGTCTGAGTTCCCCCTGGGCAACTTGGTGAGACTCTGTCCCAACTAAAGAATAAAAAAGGACAGTGGATGTAGCTCAGTGGTGGAGAGGGAACGAAGAAGGGAATGAAGGATGGAAGGGAGGAAGGGCCAGCCGCACACCTGAGACAGTGACTGGCGCTGCCATGGCAGCTGGGTGAGCACCGCCTGTCAATGTGGAGCGAGGGAGCAGCGGGCTGGGCTGCCTGGAACCTGCTCCGACCTTCGGCAGTGACCGCTGCTACTTCCCGGCTGCCTCTCCTCTCAGGCAGCCAGAGCCCGCTGGGCACTGATTGTCCCTCGAGAGGCCCGTGTCGTGGTCTGGTCCTGCCTGGCCGGGGTTCTTCGGGAGCCCGTGGTGTGCTGTGCTTTGGCTCCAGCAGGACACAGGACACACACAGCCCTGCCCCGGGACGCCCCAGAAGGGCACACTGGAACCCGGGGACAAGGCCTGGAGGAGGGCCCCTTCCAGGGACCAGCCCTGCTGAGTGGGCAGAGTGCGGAGGGTGGGAGCCACCAGCCCCTGACAGCCTGCCCATCCCATGGGCGGGGGCCGCCGGAGGGGTGTCAGGGAGCCCCGTCAGGGTGACACTGTCGGGAACTATGCAGTCACGAGTGTCACCCTGGCCACCCTCCCTCCTGCCCTGGCTCGTAGGCGCACTGACTTCGGAGAGAGGAATGTGAGTCTGCGTCTGGCAGGGTGGAGACTCAGCCAGGTGTCAGGGCCCCCAGCCAGGCTGGCCACACAGGTGGCTGCCACCCACAGGACCTGGCCAGCGTCCACCACACCCTCAGGCCAGGAAGCAGAGCTGGTTTCTGGTCAGGGCAGGTATGGCCTGAGGACAGGAAAGACCTTTGGGCCACTTGGGCCCAGGCCAGCAGGGCAGGCTGGGGACAGGGAAGAGAACCGGCACTGGGACAGGCGGGGTGCCTCCATGATGGTGGCCTGGCCACCCCAGCCCGGGGTCCAGAGATGCTGAGGACTGCGCCAGGCACCGAGCATGAGTGTCCCCAGTGCTGTCATCTGAGCTGGGTGCTCCCAGAGCCTTCTTTGCAAAGGAAGAAAGTGAGGCCCAGCACTTTTGACAGCTGCCCCCGGGCAAAGCCAGAAGTAGCCGAGATCACACCCAGCTCCTAACACCAGGGGCCCTGGCAGCCTTGGGGTCCAGATAAAACACAGGAAGCCCAGGTAAGTGTGACTCTCAGAGGAACGACAGAGAGCTTAGAACATACACACTCACGAACCTGTGTACATTCTGTGTACATCCCCAGCACCTCAGCCCCGAGCAACACCCAGCCCCACGGAGCGCAGCAGGGTCCTCAGAGGGACCCTGAGCCCACAGGTCCCCGCGTGGGGGTGGGGCTGGAGGGCCGGTGCTGTCATGGCCCCATGGCACCCGCTGCCCACACCTGACCCTGCCCCTGGCCTGGCAGGAAGGGGCCCGGGAGCCTCTCGGACTCTGGCACTGAGCGCGCCCCTCCACCTGCCTGTGGTGGCCTCGGGGACCCGGTGCTGGGGCTGCCTGCTGCAAAGCCACGGCGGGGAGAGGGGCAGCCTGGCACCCCAACCACCAGGGAAGCTGCTGCGTCCCCTCGGCCTCTCCAGCAGCCCACTGTCGCACTGGCAGGCTGGCCCCGCCCACCTTGTCCCCTGCTCTAGCCCAGATGCACCCGCCCCCCTGTGTGCCCTGCACTACTTTGCTGAAATATTGATTCACCTACCATGCCATGCGTCCACTGAAAGTGCACAGGGCTTCCCAGTGTATCATTACATTTTTAAATTGCGCTAAAGTACACATGACATAGCCCTGGGCCGGGTGCTGGCACACTTGAAATCCCAGTACTCTGGAAGGCGGAGGCAGCAGGGTCACCAGTTGGTCACCAAACTTAGCAGTTTGCCAAGACTCTGCCTCAAAGTGTAAAATACAAAGAGCTCGGCTTGTGGCTCAGGGCAGAGGCCCTGGATCTGGGCCTCCGTGCCACAAAAGCGATGTGCAGTTGGCCATTCTAACCGTCGTGAGTGGTGGGTTCACTGGCACTGAGTATTTGACATCAGGCAGCCATCACTTACCTACTTCCAAGACTAACCCAGCCCCAACAGCGCTGTGGCCCTGGTGGAGTGACTCCCCCTCCCTCCTGGCCTGGCAGTGTCCAACCTGCCTCTGTCTGGCTCTGCCCAACCACGGGGTGTGTGGGATTCACTGGGCTCTGGCTTCTTGGACTTCACATGGTGCTTTCTGGGTTCCCGCATTTCTCTCCCGAGAGTGGATGCAGCCCGCTCTATCCACACCATGTCTTGCTTGTCTGTCCTCCTGTGGGGGACACTCGGTGGTCCCTGACCCTGGCTGTCCACCCTGTGGTTTCCCCCACGCACTCCGGAGGTGATGCAGGTGTGGCCTGCGTACTGGGGGGTGGGCGGGGACAGCCTCCGTGTGGGGCCCACGGGACCCTGGCCTTGCCAGTGGCCTGGGAGAGCCAGGCCCTTCCTGCCCAGCAGCGTGGCCCCCACATGCTGCCTGGAGTCCCTTAGGGTGGGGCCGGGAGTCCCTGTGACTCACTTATCTTCACTGCCGGCCTCCTGTTCCGGCCCTGCCCACGACGAGCATGGCGGCTGGGGTGGCCCACTGTGTGGGGAGCCTGTGGACCCTGGGTCCTGCGGGGCCCAGCCTCTCCCCTGCTGCTCTGGAACAGGGTTGGCTGAGTCCCTCAGCCCAGCTGGGGAACAGAGGGGCTCCACCTTCCTGAGCCCAAGGGCAGCGTCTGGGCCCCGCCCCAGCAGTGACCACCGACCCCTGAGGGGTACGGTCCTGCTCCTGCCCCTGAGAATCTGACGGTGGCCACTACCCAAGCCGCAGTCTAAAACACTCTGCCACCAAGTATGGGGATGCACGCTTGTGATCCCAGCGCCCAAGAGACGGAGGCAGGAGGATTGCGAGTGCCGGGCCAGACTCAGCTACAGGGTGAGACCCTGTCTCGGAAACCAAACCAAACCAAACAAGCAGGAGCAGAGCAGAGTTCAGACCGATGCCCGATTCCCACCCGCAGCTGCCAGCTGACTCCTGGCACAGCTAAGACTAAGGAACCCTGAGCCAGGCCCACCAGCCTGAACTCGGGGCAGCTGGGCCGGGAAGCAGTCTGCCGCCGAGCCACACCCCGAGCCCACTTGTACTTCGAGCAGGTCTTGGGCTCGCCCTCCTGCTGCCTCAGCCACCTGTTGTTGCTTCTCTGTGTATGTGCTCTTGGGGACTGCATCAAGGGCCCAAACGAAGAGCTGCATCCCAGCCCCTGGCAGGGCAGGCGGCGGAACCACTGAGCTTCCTTCCTGTCTTCTTTCACAGCAGTACCAGAGATGGAAGGCGGGACCTCGTGCCTTCGAGGCAGGGGATGGCACCACTGAGCTACACCGCCGGCCTTTCTTTTCTTTTCTCTTCTCCCATTCCTCCCTCAATCTCCCTCCCTCCCTCCCTCCCTATGTACAGAAGCTTTGTTTCCATTTTTCCCTTCCGTTTTCACTTGTTTTCTTGTCGCTTCCTTCCTCCCTCTCCCCTCCCTGTTCCCCTTCCCATGTAAACATTTTCTTCCATTTCCCAACATCCGTTATACATCTCAGTCCTTATCTCCACATTCAGGTTCTCGCACCAGAGAAAGAACACGATATTTAAACACGTGTGTCAGATTTATTTCACCTAAGAGTATGGTCTCGAGGTCTATCCATTTAGCTGCACATGTCTGAAGCTCATCCTTCTTTATAGCAAAGCAGTGCTCCATTTTGTAAAAACCCACATCTTCTTTATCCACTCGTCAGCTGATGGGCACTTGGGCTGCTTCCAAGCTTTAGCTATTATACGCTGTGCCGCTATAAACACGGGTGCACATATATCACTGTGCTGTGATCCTTTTAATTCTTTCAGGAAGATACCAACAGGGTCAAGTGGAACCTCTACTTTTAGTTTTTTCAGGAATCTCCATACAGATTTCCACAGTGGTTGCACCAGCCTACACTCCCGCCAACAGTGGAGAAGGGTTCCTTTTCCCCCCAGCATCTGTTACTGGTTGATTTTATGATAGCAGCCATTCTTTCTGGGGTGAGGTGGAATCTCAGCGTTGTTTTAATTTACATCTTGAATGACCAGTGATGTTGAACATTTTTTTATATATTGACTTGCCATTTCTAATTCTTTATTTAAGACGTGTCTTTTTATTTCAGATGCCTATTTTTGCATTGGGTCTTTGAATTCGGGGAGTCTGATTTTTTTGAGTTCTTTATATATTCTAGATAATAGTCCTTTATCTGAACAGCTGGCAGAGATTTTTTCACACTCTGTGGATTGATGAGACAGGGACTTGCTAAGTCACTAAACTGCCCATGCTGGCCTCAAATTTGTGATCCTCCTGCCCCAGCCTCCCAGAGTGCTAGGATTATAGGTATCCATCACCATGCCCAAATGTTTCTTGTTTTGTTTTGGTTTTTGAGACAGGGTCTCATTATGTACTTCAGGCTGGCCTTGAACTCACTGTGTAGCCCAGGCTGGCCTGGAACTCTCGGTGATCCTCCTGCCTCAGCCTTCAGAGTGTTAGGACTACAACTGTGCGCCACTGCACCTGGCCCTGCTTCTTGATTAAAGGGAAAAGTGCTGTTGGTGGTCAGGGAGGGAGAGCTCTCATTTGAGGACAAATCGAGGAAGACTTCCTGGAGGAGGTGGGGCTGAGAGTCTTCGAGGGACTCAGCTGGAAGAGACGGGGTGGGCCCTGCACCATTTCCCAGGGGCAGGGGTGAAGCCCGGGCTTTAGATGTGATTTCTTGGATCAGAGCTTGCAATTGGGCAGTTGGGCAGTTGCCTTGGGGCCACACAGCCAAGCCCAGCATCGGAGGGGTTAAGTAGAGGGCAGAGGCTATGTCAGGTTCTGTTTGGCCCGTGCATGGTGTTGGTGTTTTGTTTCTTCAATTTGATTCAGTTGGAACACTCAAAAATGTGGCGCTTCACACAGGTCTAGATTCCTGTGCTCCAGAACCCGGGTCCCGCCCTGGCTGTGCCCCGTCTAAGGACTCAGGCTCCTGGCATGCTCCGTGCCCTCGTCCTCTGGCTGGGAGCCCTGTGGTGTGGACTCCGGCCAAGCTGCCCCTGGTGTCAGGGTCAGGCGGCCCCGCCTCTCAGGCCCAGTGCTGAAACCCCTGCCCCCTGAGCCCTTGCTGGGCTTTGGATCTGCAGCTGGCATCTCCGTTCCAGGATGGAGAGCGTGAGGCTCAGTACAGGCGCAGTTGTCTCAGTTAGGGCTGCCTGGGCCGGCTGCCCTTGGGACGGAGTGGGGAGGCCACACCCAGATCCCAGAGCTCAAGTTCTGCTTGTGCCCAGTGCCCACGGCCCAGGGCTGTGCCCTGAGTGGGCCAGGAGGATGAGGTCAGCAGGGCGCAGCTGGCCTGCCCTCCTTGGCCGGCACCCTACAGACAGCTCTGCCATTCTGCTCGCCTTTGGGAAAGCTGCAGCCAGGAGCTTGGGCTGCAGCACGCAGATTCAGTTGGATAGAGAGACCAGCGTCCCACCAGCTCCAGGGAGGCCTGGGCAGCCTGCAGGGACCTGGTATACAGGTGCCAGGTTGACAGGGCCCTGATGCCCACTCCTGCAGGCCTCACAGAGGACGAGGACGTGCATGCCATGCTGCGGGGCTCGCAGCTGTGCAAGATCCGCTCGCACACGTGGCAGAAGGAGCGGCTGTACCGGCTGCAGGAGGACGGCCTCAGCGTGTGGTTTCAGCGGCGCTTCCCGCATGCGCCCTCAAGGCACATCTGTGAGCAGCAGGGGCGGCCAGGGTCAGGGACTGGGTGGGGGTCGGGTCAGGGTGAGGGCCAGAGCGTCCCTCACTCCCACCGCCAGTCCTCGTGCAGCACATTGAGGCCGTGCGCCAGGGCCACCAGTCCGAGGGCCTGCGGCGCTTCGGAGCCGCCTTCCCACCCGCACGCTGCCTGACCATCACTTTCCGCGGCCGACGCAAGAACCTGGACCTGGTGGCACGGTCAGCCGAGGAGGCACAGCACTGGGCACGGGGCCTGGACAAGCTGCGGGTGCGGCTGGAGGCCATGAGCCAGTGGGAGCGCCTGGACCAATATCCTTCCAGGGACCCTGGGGGTGGGGACAGGCCTGCCACCCCCTGCCTGGATGGGGGGACTGGCCCATCAGTTACTTGCCATTGGGGTGGGGCAGGGGTGGGGCCCACGTCTCCCGGACCCTTCCTGAGCGCACATACCTGGATCCACTTCTACCTGCACCGGGCAGACTCCAACCAGGACAGCAAGATGAGCTTCAAGGAGATCAAGAGCCTGCTGTGCATGGTCAACGTGGACGTGAACGACATGTATGCCTACCGTCTCTTCAAGGTGAGCTGCGGGCCTCCTCCATGTCCCCACTTTGCCCCTAAATGCCTGCTGACCTTCCCCTCGGAAGCTCCGCCAGTGTCGGCTGGGGGAGGGCACGCAGGTGCACACCCTACGTCCCAAGGGCCCTCCTGTGTCCGTGTGCCCCCCCGCCCTTGTGTGCACTGCAGGGCACACAGCATGGGCCGGCTGGGGACATGGCAGAGACTGGATGCTGAGCATGGGACTCTGAGCCACAAAGGCCTGGCTCTGCACACGTGTGAGCTCTCGGTCACTGCTTGTTGGCCAGGTGTGAACTCAGTGTGAGTGTGGTCACAGGGTACAGAGCTGCACTGTGGCAAGGATCCCTGCCCTGCCCGGGTCACTGTGCCCCAGCAGCACCTGGGTTCTTGGGTTGGGCCATGGTGCTGATTCTCAGAGCCCCCAGAATGCTAGCCCCGTGTCCACCACTGTAGGATGAGGCCCCACTTTCCAGGTGTGACCGCGCCTGGGGTGTCAGTGGGGCTGGTCTCCCCATGTCCCCCCGTGCCCCAGGCGTGTGACCAGTCCAATGACGAGCGGCTGGAGGGTGGGGAGATCGAGGAGTTCGTGCGGCAGCTGCTCAAGCGCCCAGAGCTAGAAGAGCTCTTCTGCCAGTTCTCTGGCGAGGATCGTGTGCTGAGCACCTCCGAGCTGCTAGAGTTCCTGAAGGCACAGGGCGAAACAGGAGCCACGCTGGCCCACGCGAGGCAGCTCATCCAGACCTATGAGCTCCACGAGACAGGTGGGCGGCGGGTAGGAGGGTGAATCTGCCCCCGGCCTGGCAAGGCTGGCCTCTGCTGTCTCCAGGGCTCAGTGAGCCACACCTGGGGCACTGGGGGAGGGATGGGGCCCTGGGCCACACCTCTCTGGCTTCCCCATAGCCAAGCGCCACGAATTGATGACCCTGGACGGCTTCATGATGTACCTGCTGTCACCCGAGGGGGCTGCCCTGGACCCCGCACATGCCCTAGTGTTCCAGGACATGGGCCAGCCCCTCACACACTACTTCATCTCCTCCTCTCACAACACCTACCTGACCGACTCCCAGATCGGGGGCCTCAGCAGCACCGAGGCCTACATCCGGTACCGCACCCAGGAGGGACTCGGGTACAGGCCTGTCCGCCTGCTCTGCACCCCGACACCTCACCTGTCCATCTGTCCACCTGTCCATGCACAGGGCCTTCTCCCAGGGCTGCCGCTGTGTGGAGCTGGATTGTTGGGAGGGCCCGGGCGGCGAGCCTGTCATCTACCACGGCCACACACTCACCTCCAAGATCCTCTTCCGAGACGTAGTCCAGGCGGTGCATGACCACGCCTTCGAGGTAAGCCTGGGCCACCCACACCCAGGGCCTTTGGTCCTCAACCCAACCCCAAGGGCAGCCCTCATGCCCCAGTGCTGCCCGGAGCACCCGGACAGGCGAAGGCAACACCCTGCCGACCTCCCTTGGCACCCTATACACTTGCACTCTGCCCAGGTGCTGGGAGGTCACCACCCAAGTGATCATGGGGCGTTTGCAGCTTAGCCAACAGTCCACGCCATTAACACAGAGAGCATCCCTAGCCGGGCACAGTGGCCCGGCCTGTAACCCCAGCTCCTGGAGAAGCTGAGACAGGAGGATTGCAACTTCCAGGCAAGGCCTGGCAACTTATTGAGACCTTGTCTCAGAAGTTGAAAAAGTAAATAAAAAGGGCTGGGAATGCAGCTCAGTGCAAGGCCCTCAGTTCGATCCCCAGCACTGTAGATGAATGAACAAGGTGTCCTGCAGCCTCAGCCTCCCGGACGGCCTCCCCGAAGTCCCCGAGTGTCCGCTCCCGTGGGCTCCATCCTCTGGGGCCCTGTGGAGCCGGTGCCCACTGTCCTGAGCACTGCCCTCCCCACAGCGGTCCCCCTACCCTGTCATCCTGTCCCTTGAGAACCACTGTGGGCTGGAGCAGCAGGCTGTCATGGCTCACCACCTGCGGACTATCTTGGGGGACCAGCTGGTGACAGAGGTGCTGGGCACCCAGGATCCCCAGGAGCTGCCGTCTCCGGAGGTGACGCTTCTGGGGCCTGGGGACGAGGGTTCCCTGGAGCTGCCCTGTGTCCCCAGTGTCCCCGGCTCTCCACTCCTGATGAGTGCCACACCCGCTCACCTGGCACTCAAAGACCTGCGGGCTGGGCCGGGTGGATCCCAGGCCTGGGGACACTCTCACCTCGCCTCGCCTCGCCTTCCCGCCCCCAGCCCCCCAGCCCCTCCCGGGTGGTTGAATGACTGAGGGCTGTGCGGGGGGAAGAAGGCCTCAACTGACCCTGTTGCCTCCTCAGCACCTGAAGGGCCGGGTGCTGGTGAAGGGGAAGAAGCTGCCGGGCTCGTGGGGCGAGGACAGCCGCCCAGTGTCGGACAGAGAGGAGGAGGAGGAGGAGGACGGGGAGGCTGTGGGGCCTGCACAGCACAGGGCTCCCTCGCAGGCCGGGCCCCAGGCTGGGCAGATCTCCCCGGAGCTGTCGGCCCTGGCTGTGTACTGTTGTGCCACCCGCCTGCAGACCCTGCAGCCCGGCCCCGGCCCGGCCCAGCCCTGCCAGGTCAGCTCCCTCAGCGAGCGCAAGGCCCGGAAGCTCCTGCGGGAGGCAGGTAGGAGCCAGGTGTTGGGCGTCAGTGGGCACAAGGAGGTGGGGACCCCGAGGAGGGGCTCGGTGGGAGTGGGGCCACCCGCAGCTGAAGCCACACCAGGAGCCCAGCAGGAGGGCGAGCTCCACAAAGGCGTGTGTCCCGGAGGAGGAACAGGTTTCCGTGGGCCTGGCGTGACCTCTGTGAAGCTTCAGGACACAGGGCCTTGCTGAGAGGGAGCACGGCATGGGGCGTAGGGCTGTGGTCCAGGCCAGGCCGTGCGGGGAGGACCCCTGCCCCCTCCGGGCCCCAGCACCGTCCGCCAGTCCCCTCAGCCTCTGTCCCCAGGCCACCGCCCCATCCCAGTCCTGCTGGACTCTGCCCCAGGGAATAGCTTTGTCCGGCACAACACCCGCCAGCTGACCCGCGTGTACCCGCTGGGACTGCGCGTGAACTCGGCCAACTACAGCCCCCAGGAGATGTGGAACGTGGGCTGTCAGCTGGGTGAGCGGTGGCCCGCAGAGGCAGGAGCCAGGGTGGGGGGCCCACACAGCCTCCCGAGGTGGAGAGGCACTTAGGGCAGTGGGAGGCCAGCCCGGGCCAGCTTGCCGTCCACACCAGTCAGCTTTCTGTGAAGACAGGATGGAAGCCCCTCCTTTGTGGCCCCCACAGCCACCCGCCCTTCCGCGCTGGCCAGGTGTCCTCTGGGCAAGCCCAGCAGGCAGTGGGGCAGCTATCCTGAGGGCCTTCTGCAGCGCACCTGAAGGACAGCAGGGAGGAGGTGCAGGTGACAGTTGGCGGGTCCCTGGGGAGGGCCAGGCCCTCTCCGCCACAGCTGGCCCTGATCTGAGCGGCAGGGCCCGGGCACCCATAGCCCCTGCTCATCCCTGCCGCCCACAGTGGCCCTGAACTTCCAGACTCCGGGCTATGAGATGGACCTCAACACAGGCCGTTTCCTGGTCAATGGGCGGTGCGGCTACGTCCTGAAGCCCCTCTGCCTGCGGCAGCCAGACACAGCATTTGACCCAGGGCGCCCTGGACCCCCCAACACCACACTAACGATCCAGGTTAGCGGGGGTCAGGAGTGCCCTGGAGACGCAGTGGTCCAGGCGGAGGGCGACAGGGGCCAGGGACTGCCTGGGCGTCTTCACGTGGAGCAGGGCAGGAGTGGCCAGTGGGCACCGGGCAGCCCTGCCCATCTCCTCAGGTGCTCAGTGCCCAGCAGCTGCCCAAGCTGAACACTGAGAAGCCCGGCTCCATCGTGGACCCCCTGGTGCGCGTGGAGATCCACGGAGTCCCTGAGGACTGCGCCCAGCAGGAGACCAGCCACGTGCTCAACAACGGTGGCGACCTGGGCAGGCGGGCGGGGGCGGGCAGGGGCGGCAGGGAGGTGTTGGCTCTGACCACGTGCCGCGCCTGTGCCAGGCTTCAACCCGCGCTGGGGTCAGACCCTGCAGTTCCTGCTGCGGGCCCCGGAGCTGGCCCTGGTGCGCTTTGTGGTGGAGGACTACGACACGGCCTCCCCTAACGACTTCGTGGGCCAGTTCACGCTGCCCCTCAGCAGCCTGAAGCAAGGTGGGTCCCTGTCCCCAGCTGCCTACCTGGCCTGGGCTGGAGCTGGGGCTGAGCACCTGACACTGGCCGCTCCCACAGGGTACCGCCACATCCACCTGCTCGCCAAGGACGGGGCCCCACTGTCCCCCGCCACACTCTTCATCCATGTCTGCGCACAGCACTCCTGAGGGCTGAGGACCCAGGACGTGTCCAGCAGCGAGCCCACTCCTCCCCGCACCTGGCCGCCTGGTGCTGCGGGCTGCTGGCCTGAGGGCACAGACACGGGGCAGCTTGCGCTGGTGCAGGGGCTGCTGCCACCAGGACCTGAGGGGCTGGTGACCCTGAGCCCCGGGCCCCTGCAGACCTGCCCCAGCCCCCTTCCTGGGAGGCCCTCCCCTACCCATCTTGGTGGCGCCTCAAGCCCTCAGCCCTCCAGGCTTGCCCCGCCTCCTCCCTCCTGCCAAGCAGGAAGGAAGCTCAAGGTGGAGCCAGAAACCTGGCCTTAGGTTGGCAACTGGGTCCCAGGAGAGCCCTGGGAGGGCAGTAGAGAGGCGTCTATTTTAATAAAGAAGCTGCTTTCCTCCGCACCCGGCACTTCCGTGACCTAGGGGTGGGCACTGAGGGCAGCCTCTCCCCAGGGCCTGACTGTGCCTGACCCTGCTCAGGCTGAGGACACCAGTTCCCAAGGTCACAGTGGCCTGGAGTGGGAGGGTGACTTCTAAGGGACCTGCCAGCCCTGCCACCACAGCTCTGGACAGTGCAGTGTGACGCAGGCCGGGAGCCCCCGCCACACCGGTCAGAAGGGGCTGCAGGGGACAACACACGGTAGCCACCACTGGATGGGGCAAGACTTGCCCGGGCTTCCACAGGGCCGGGCTAGGCCTGGAGCTGGCCCGGGACTGGGCAGCGGCACCTTCTTGTGCAGGAGGTAACAGCTTCCTCTGGGGAGTGGGGCTTGGTTCTGACACTGGGTACTCAATCCAGGCTGTCGGGAGGGCAGGGTTGGCCCGGGTCCCGCTGGGCCTGCCCTGGGCCTGGTTGGGCCCATCCTGTGTTCCCCTCTGGTTGGGCTGGTGGCCAGGATGAGGCCAGGGCTGGGAAACCTCACTGAAGGGACCAGAACTGAACACAGCAGGTGTGGGAAAGGAGTGGAGGCTGGAAGAGTGTGCTTCTCGGGCAGAGCATGCTGGGCAGGGTGTGGGCACATCCAGGGGCCTGGCAGAGATCGTGGGCCCAGGACGGGTGAGAAGTTCAAAGCACAACAACAGGGGAGTGGGAAGTCAGAGTGCGGGGCGACGGGGACCAGCAATCTGCCTGTTAAAAAGGGCCCCGAGCAGCCAGGGCATAGCCCCAGGCAGCACTGGCCTAGCAGGAGCGAGGCCCTGGCTTCCATTCCAGTGTTTCAAAAAACAACAGAAGAAAACCAAAAACCCAGAAAGTGCCCTGGTGACTCAAGGGAGCCAGAGCTGGTGGGGCAGGAAAGGGTGTGGGGCCTGGGCAGAGCGGTGTGCATAGTGCCCAGGCCTCCAGGGGAGCGGCGGAGTCCCAGGAGGAAGGAAGGCAGCCGCGCCCTGCCTGTCCATGCGCCTCTGACCAGAGCACTCCCAGGGCAGGGGTTGTCCAGCGGCTTCCTTTATTAAAAACAGTGTGATGTACTGAGTGGAACAACTCACTTGATATTTCCTCCCCGAGCCTAGAAATGGACACATCCCAGCACAAAGAAAAGGACTCCCGGCGATTCCTAGAGCTACCGAATGGGGCCGTCCCTGCCCACCTCCCTGGGAGCCGCCCGGAACGGAGCCTTGGCCTCCCATTCTGGCCCCAGACAACCCTGTCCCCCACCTTGGCCTGACAGTCCCTGGCCCCTAGATGGCAGCTCTGGAGCCTGTCCAAGGCTTGGACCCTTGGCTAGTGAAATGCTGGTCCTCTGCGGAAAGAATTCAAGACCACAGGTGGCTGCCCCAGGCTGCCAAGAAGCAGAAGCGAGGCACAGGCAAGGCCGACATCTTTGTGGAGAGCAAGTGCTGGAGGGTGAGGGTGGCCTGGCCCTATCTGGCCGGAGCTCAGCCCGTGCACCCAGCTCTTCCTACACGGTGGAACCCGTCGTCAGGCAGACATCCCAAGGCAGGAGAGGATGCTTCCTTCAGGGCACCCGCCAGGGGGCCTGGGGGCAGCAGGTGTGACAGCAGCCGCCAAGGCAGGCAGCCTGAGCCTGTGGTCCCTTGCTGGTGCCAGCCTGCTGCAGTACCCGTCCTACAGGGCTCCTGTGGGGGCCTGAGCCCGAAATGCTGCTCCGTGGCCCCAAACCTCAGAAGGAGTTGAGTGAAGAACCAGGGAGTCTGAGCAGGATAGAGAGCCAGCCGACCTCTATGGCCCTGGGTGGGGTCCCCCAGAGCATCAGGGTGCAGGGTGCAGAGCCCTGACTGTGGAAAGGGAGGCACTGGGCCCTGCCAGTTCTGCTTCTTCCCAAGCAGCCTGGGCCACACGGAACTCATTCCATGACTCTAGCCAACAAAGCAAAGCCTGGTCCAAGGAACTGTGTACCCCAAAGCTCAGCAGCATGTGAAATGGGGACCTGGCCCAGAGGATCAGGTCTGACAGGAGCTTCCGCACAGTGAGATGCTGCCCAAGGTAGGAAGGATGTGAGCACTCTGTCCTGTGATATCCGTCACCAGGCAGCACCTGATGTCCGAGGGGCTGACAGCACCGCCTCTCCAACTCTCCGTGCACTTCCTGCCGAGCGAAGCAGCTTCTTTGGTCTGGAGTCTAGAGTGGAGGAATCAAAGGTCAGCCGCCGGAGAGTGATGACAGTGGGGCTCGAGGCCCAGGAAGCCTCTGGTGCAGCCGCCTGCATTCCCGCGACAAGACAATCCCGTCCAAGCACACAAGACACGTCTCCAGCTCTGCAGACCACAGTTAGCCTCCAGCAAAGTACAGCGGTCTGCAGGCTATGCACACCCTGCTGGCCTGAAGAGGCTTCCTTCCCCTTTGAGCAGCAGAGCCAGTGCAGTGAAGACCACTGTCCCATGGCGTGCTGTCACCCGGCTGCATGAGGGCAAGCTCCGTCGAAGCTGGACGTGGGCAGCTGAAGATGCCTGGGTAGAGGCACGTGCTTGGGCGCAGGGACCCGGGAAACCGGCACAACCACCACACAAGTCCACACGATGGCACTGGTGAAAGCCAGCTCAGACCACGGCAGCGTGACCCCGCGCCTGCTGCCAAGTCCAGATCTGCCTCTCACCACACCGAGCAGGGTGAGCTGTGGCCTTGGGCTCTCCTCTGAGGCATGCTGCACAGGGCTGGCACGGCGTGGTCTCCACGAGGTCCCAGAAAAGGGGTCCCCTTCGGACTGCCAGGGCCCTGGCACTGGAAAGGCAAAGCCTCTCGGGAGACAGGAGCCCCTCAATGGCTGGGCAGGGTGGCGTCCTGCAAGGCAGGCCATGAATGGAAGGTGCTCAGCGGGCCCCGTTCCCACCATCCATGCCCAGCATCACCCGCCTGGAGCCTCTGAGACGCAGGCCCCTCCAGCTTCCCTCGGCCTAGAGCCAATGTGCGGGGAGCCCAGGCCCAGATCATCTCCTGCGCCCGGGCACTGAGCAGGGGTGACGACATCTGCTTCTGTCCTTGGCTTCTGAACTTGAGGACGATGGGAGTCAGCCTTTCATTAGAGCCCAAACATCCTCGCACATGTGGAACATGAAAGATATTTAAAATATTTATATATATAATATATATACTTTTATTATTCACCCGTTAACTCCATAATACGCCAATCACGAGCTAGTTTCAGCAGTTACATTCCCTTGATCAGGGCTGCATGAGGATGTGACTAACTGGAAAACAGGGAGACCAGAACGGCCGGAGTGACGTTGGGCAGCCCGCGCCACAGCAGCAGTCACTGAGCCCGCTGGCGGTGTGTAAAGTCGGTTCGGCTCTGCTCCCTTCCAGGGATGCTCAGGCCTGTGACACTGGACCGACAGGGGCTGGCTTCCATTGCCGGCTGGAATCCTCAGTGGCTTTATCCAGAATCTCACACACAACTGGTTACTGTAACACAAGCCCCACCTGGGAGACCCAGGCAGAGGCGCAGGGTCAGTGGACGCTCATGGCCAGGGAGCCCACAGACAGGGCCAGGGAGGACAGGTGGGAGGGCAGCTGGACCCAGCCCCCTCCCGGTGCTACTGTCCTGCCCCAGCCACACAGTGGCTCGCTGCCTGGCTCCCGAGGCCAGGGCCGGCCCTGCAGCGTCCTGGCCAGCTGCGTGTGAGACCGGCCCTCAGGAGGAGAGGATCGTGGTTCAAAGACCCAGCACCCACCTTCTCGGCACCCATGCTGGGGCACTTCCAGTTGTACAGGTAATACTGCAAGTTGCCGTCCCCTATGCCGAACTTGAGCTTCTCCAGGAAGGTCTTGTTCTCCATGAGATCCAGTGCATTGAACACGTCAAACCCTTTCTGCAGGGCAGTGGGGAGCAAGGATGGGTGAGGAAGTCCTCCCGTCCCCACTACCACTGACCCGAGCAGGTCTCCTGGGCCACAGCCCCGCCTATCCTCAGCATCCCGCCCTGCTGCCACTGCCCCACACCTCCCAGAGCCCCTGGGGATGGCACGGTCAGCCTCTCCGTGGAGACGCCGGCTGCCACCAGCCCACCGCTCACAGGCTCGTGGGGCACAGGTGACCGTGGGACACGGGAGCAGCACTCAAGGCTGAGACAAGGACACTTCCCAAGGCTCCCCACGTAGAGGGAAGCTTTGGGGCACAGAGGTCAGGCAGCCTCCACTCAGGAAGCCGGGCCACTGGGAGCCTGCTGAGGGTATGGCCCCAGAAGCTGTGCCCACCACGCCCACCACGTGCCCAGGGTTTCTGAAAGCCTAGCCCGCTCCTCACCATTTTGGCAAGAACAAGGGCATCACTCATGAGGTCTAGAAGAGGGGTCTGGGTGTGGACGTTGTAGAAAGAATAAGCAGCTTTCAGACTCTTGTGGGTCGGGTGGTTCATGATGGTGGAGGGCAGTGTATAAAAGCTCAGGAAGTCCGTCACCTCGCCGTTTGCATTCTGCGGGCACAAAGAAGAGGTGGCGTCCCGGTGAGCTGTGCAGGGCGCAGGACAAGCTGTTCTCCGCATGTGCACCTCAGTCCAGCAGCCGTGCCTTCCCGCTGAGCAGGGCACGGGGAGGGGACACAGCAGCTCAGGGCAGCGGGGGGAGCCAGGCTGGGTGCTGGGCAGGTGCTGGGCCACCTCTCCCGCTGGGCACTGCCTCTGACTTCCTCTTCTGCTTTTTTTTTTAAACCAAGCCTCACTGTGTCGCCCAGGCTGGTTCTGAACTCCTGGGATTAAGTGATTTCCTGGCTCAGCCTCCCACGTAGCTGAGACCACAGGCATGTGTCACGCTGGCCATCTTGGGACCTCTCCTGTGGCTCGCGCCCCAGACACAGCTCGGGTGTAAGCCAGGACTCCTGAGGAAGAGGGGCTCATGGGCTCACTCAAGCCCAGAAGAGGACACCTTCACCGACCTCGAGCTGCAGCCCGGCTTTCAGGAAGAGCAGGAAGCTGAGGTGCCTGCACCCAGCCCTGGCACTGGGCTCCAGGAGGGGCCGCACCCCAGCGAGCCCTGACTCACCTCCACCACGAAGGTGTCGATGATGTTCTCCTGGGGGTAGAACCAGTGCTCCACCTCTTCCTGGCTCATGACTGGCGTGAGGTGGAACTGCTCCAGGTACCTGGTGAGCAGCTGGTGCACTACCGGAGTGTCCTTCTTCTCCATTGGTCGCAGCCCGGCTGTCTTGGGAGACTGGATGGAAGATGGAAGGGACAGTATGAGATGTGCCTGTCACCTGGGCCTGTCCTCGCCCTGTGGCCAGCTGTCCTGCCTCCCAGTTCCACTGCCCCTGAGCTGAGAGCTCCCACTCTGCAGGGCGGCCGGCTGCTCTGGCTCTGCCCGAGGACATCCAGTCCTTCCAGCCCCGTGATTCTGAAAAGAGCCCATGTTGTCCCCAAGGGGACACGGGCCAGTATCTGGAGATGTTTCTGATTACCACCAGTTGGGGAGGGAGTCTGTTCAGCATCTATGGTGTACAGGACGTCCCGGAACAAGGAGTGATCGGGCACCCGACACCCCGGACTATAGCTCAGACCTGCCTCACAGTTGCTATGTCCTAGGAAAATGCTTCAGGAGAAGGAAGTATGTGACCCTGGGGGCGAGTACTACACTGCTGGGCCTCCCTAGACTCGGTGCACAAAGACGGGGCTCAGCCACACTGGGATCTGGGTGCTGCCTGCTAGCTGCTCCCCAGGAGCGGGGCTGCCATGCACTTCTGGCCTGGACCTGCCCTCCACAATGGCTCGCTGGCCCAGTCCCCCGGAGAACACATGAGACCTCCCTCTGCACGCAGCCCCCGGGACACCAGGAGGCCTGTACAGAAAACAGCTGCCCTGGGTTCTCCCCGTGGGAATCCAGACTCGCCGGACGCCTCAGTGCCCCAACGCTGCTCCTCACTGCCGACACAGGCACTGCGCCTGGCACAGAGGGGGACACCCACCGGGCTCCGGGCCCCTCAGGGCACAGTACGGCCCTGTGACAGGCAGGCAGGCAGTCCTGTCTGGTGGCAGGGAGCCAGCGGCAGCACTGAGCAGACAGCCACTGGAAGAACCCCAAGCGGAGGGAGGGGTGGAGAGACCCCGCCTCCCGTCCTGAGGCACTGTGCTGGGGAAGCCAGGCTGAGACCCAGAGCCCAACACAGGCTTAGAAAGCTGCGTTTCTCCCACAGCCTGGCGAGCCTGTGTCCCTGCTCCAGAATGGAGTAATGAGTGTCAGTTACGGACTGCGCCTTCCCAGCGATGCCCCGCTCAGCCTGTGGCTACCGAGGCCAGGAGCTCCTGCACCTGTCCCACAGCGGGCTGAGACCCGAGCAGACCGAACAGTGGCACAGAAAGGCAGGGCTGCTGGCGCACTCTGGGCACACCAGCCACAGCAGTGTTCCCAGCCCGGCCCGCCCCGCCCTGCCCTGCCCATGTCCGGGCACCACTGGCCTCCGGCAGTCGGTAGAGCTTCATGGTGCGCTGCATGGTCATGTTCCTGCTCAGGTGGGAGAACTTCACCTCAATCAGCTTCCGGGGGTTGAGCGACCGATGCCAGTACCTGAGGGTGCACAAACGCCCTGTCTTTAGGGGACACTCACTGGCCAGTTCCACTCATTAGAGGACAGCAGCAGGGAGACCTCCAGATGGCCAGCAGGTGGTGCAAGAGCACCAGGCCCCACTAGCCAGGCTACCCGGGGAACAGGGCTGCACAGGGGCTCCTAGGTTTGCTCTCCCCAGAGCCATTCCTCTGCCATGGCCCTTGTCTGCCACATCCACCGGTGCTCCCCGTCACCTCTCCAGCAGGGGTCACCCGCTGTTTCTGGTGACCCTGGAGGCAGAGCTGTCCCCAAGATGCACAGGATCAGACAAGCTCTGGGCCCCACCACATTCGAGATACAACCGAGCCAACCGTTTAAAACATTCGGAATTTCCCATAAAAATCTAGATTTGGTTTCATCCTCCAAAACAAAGAACAGCAGGCGGACTGTCTCCCTCTCAGGGCAGGAGGGCAGGAGCTGAGGATGGCCAGTACTTCCAGTCTGGCCCATCCCAGCAGACCCAAGATGCACAGGACGTTCCTGGGCCCCAGGGGCAGAACCGCAGGTCCCCGCAGGGCCTGGGCCTCGAGCTCTTAGGGCGGCTCAGCAAGAGCTGTTACCTGCAGGTGCCCACGGGCTTTGGCAACACCACCCCGGCAGTGTACACAGCTTGGAAGACGCCCTCCAGGTGCACCCGCCGCGTTATCTCTCGGATCAGGACTGGCGCCACTCTCTTGGAGCGAAGCTTCTTGTGGACACATAGGAAGTTGATCTCCACCATCTTCTTCTCTCTGAGGGGAAGGGCACAGGCAGCAAGGCTGCAGTGGAGGCCACGCCCGAGGACACGTGTTTGAAGGCACCACCAGCCCCTCCCTGTGCGTCCCACATGTGGCGAGCGTCCAGCCTGCAACTCGCAGGGAAGCAGCACAGGAAACCCCCATACGTCAGGGCCGTTCTAGGGTCCCGGGGATCTGCATCCCACAGGAACGCACAGCTCAGCCAGAAAGCCATGGCAGAGAGCTGCGACACTGCAGGGGAAGGAAGAGCGGACATCAGAGGTCCCAGTGGCCGTCTGCCTGGGACTCCCTGGCTCCAGCCCCTGGCCGGGGTGCTCGAGCTTGTCCCTGTGACTGGGGTAGGACAGCAGGAATGGGTGGACACCACCAGGACTCAGGAGGCACGAAGCCCCGTGAGGAGCCCCGGTGCCAGCACTGGTGCCTTGTGGGCCCGTCCTCTGCCAGAGACTGCACAGCTCGGCTCCATGGAGGAGATGGTGCTGACGGGTGGGTGCTGTGCTTACATGTCATAGATGTGGATGCTTGCTGGGATGGCACTAATGAAGCCAACCAGTTTTCGACTTGAGACCACTCGAACCCCGCAGTGCCACTGGGGAAGCCAGCCAGGCGGCCGCAGAGCCCTGGAAGAGACATGGCTGGGCTACGGTGCACGTGTGACAGCGGGCTGCCTGGGCAGATTCTGACCTGATGCTGCCCCTGCCCCTCCCGGCCTGGGATGAGCAGCTGAATTCTCTCAGGGCCAAGACTTCCCAGCGACTTCCTGCTGCTCAGCCCATGAGGCCCCACCACCCCATCCGAGGCTGTGCTCAGGACTTCACACCTGACCCGTCTGTGTCCACTCTGCCAGTGTGACCTGCAGGCCTGGCCTGGGCAGACTGGTGCCCGGGAACTGTGATCCGTCTGCTCCTCCGGTCCTGGCTCCTCGCTCTGCTGGTCCATCCCCCCTCAGGAAGTCCCTCCCCACACAGTCTCTAGCCTCTGTCTTCCTAGATGTGGACGTGGCTCGGGCAGGCAGAGGGCGCAGTCAGACAAATCCACTGCCACATGCCTGCATGCGTGCGTGTGTGCGTGCGAGAGTATGGAAAACGGACACAGAAAGACCAATCTGATGTCATGTGACTCTCAGCAGGTCTCATCCACCCTTCCCTTCCTCTCCACCTAGCGGATGCACTTTTCATCCTGCGTATCAGTTCTGCAAGAGCCTTCCTCGGCAGTCAGTCTGTCTGAAGTAAGATCTCATTCTGGCACCACTGAGAGCAGACTGCTGTGGACATAGGCGCTCAGCACTGCACTCACTGGCCGGCTCCAGCTGGGTCCTGGCCGGGTGCAGGCTCTGGCATCCTCTGGACGCCTGCTCTGAGCTCTGCCGCAGCCTCACATGAGCTATCCTGGAAGCAGGGGCTAGGCCTCAACGGACACCAAACATGTTGGTGCCTTCACTGTGGACTTTGAAGTTTCCAGAAACATCAAAGAAATAAGTTTCTATTATTGGTACATTAAACAAACAACCACCCAGGAGAAAGCCTCACAACTCACCAAAGGAGAAACTCCGGGGAGTAATCAAATCGGAACATGTTGTCATCGTCTTCCACATAGTTTTCGTTCAGCAGGGTGTACAGTTCTTTCAGCTGTGGAGAAATGGGGCGCTCACTACGGGAATTCAGCCAGGGGTCCAAGGCTAGTGTCCTGTGGCTCCCAGCTTTTCAGAAACAGAGCAAACCACCGAACACTCCCTCTACACTCTCAAACCTCACCCACCCCGGGCCAGGCAGGGGCTGTTCGGGAATATGCACCCTGATTCTGATGGGAAACAGCCCCTGGAGGGTGGAGTCGCAGGTGGAATCACACAGTGGCAGCTGAGGCCCCGCTCTGTCCCAGCAGGAACCTCTGTGAGCTGCTCTGGAGATAGTCAAGGGAGAAGCTGCCATTTTTTTCCCACCACATCTGGGTTTTTTTTTCCGGTACCGGGGATTGAACTTGGGACCTTGTGCTTGTGAGGCAGGCAGTAGAACCACTGAGCTAAATCCCTGGCCCCCAACACGTCTGGTTTTTATTGCCTGGCCCAAACAAAGGCCTTTCAACATTTTTCTGCCTTCCCAGCTGCCTTCATCTGCTGGGCCAAGTTTACTATTAAATTCTGTGCACGGGCTGGGGATGCAGCACAGTGGTAAGGCCTTGGGTTCAAGCCACAGCATTACCAAGAAATTTTTTAAAAAATCTGTTCACGAGTCATGTCTGGTTTCAGCACCTTAATTCCAGCACTTGAGAGGCTGAGGCAGGAGGGTAGGAGACTGGGAGTTGGGGCTGCAGTGCACTGTGCTGCTCAGATGCCAGGACTGGGCATCGCAGCAGGAATGTGCCTGCATAGCCTGGGCAGCAAAGCAAGACACTGGCTCTTTGAAGGAAATTCTGTTCACGTTTTCATCATCCCTTACGGGGAAAACAGCTCCCTCGTGTCAGAAGGGATTCCAGGAGGCTATGGTGGAAAGGGGAGGAAAGACCCCAATAAACAGGCCCAGCTCATTAGGAGACAGACAAGAAGTGAGACAAGGGAATAAATGAGTGATTAAAAAAGAGAAAAAAAAAAAGAGGCAGGAAAAAAGGAGGGCAGAGCATGCTTGGAGTCCCAAACCCAAGTTCAAGTCCAGCCTGGGCAACTGAGTGACTTAGCAAGACCAGGTCTCAACCATAAAATGGGCGGGGGCTGTAGCTCCGTATGAAGGCCTGGGTTCAATTCCCAGGACCGACAACGAAGGCGCCCATATCAGGAGCGACAGGTTCCCCTCGGCCTCCCAGGCCCAGCTCCAAGGGCCCTCAGGAGGGCCTGTGCCTACTCACCACGCCCCGGTCACCCAGGTCCAAGGCGTCCCAGGTGAAGCCCTGAGGCAGGGTGTAAGGCTCCTGGCGGATATTGTCCTTGTCAGGCTCCACGGGGCCGTGAGTGTTCACCACTTCACCTGGGAGAAGGAGAGTCATGAGCCTCTGGCCTGCCTCCTGGGGCAGAGTTCAGCTCAGGACCTGGCCAGGCAGCCCTCCTGCCCCAGGGCCCTGCATCTGAGCGCACTCTGTGCTTCGCAGCGGGAGCCACTCTCCAGCCAGCCTGTCCCTAGCTGAGCGCCAGTGCATGGCAAGGCCTCGGGACCACTGCCGACCACTGCCGGACCCAAGGAGGCTCGTTTCTGGGAAGCCTTCTAACTCTCCCTGGCTGCCTGCCTGCCTTCGGGGTCTGTGAAGAGTGCTGACTTGCCCTAGCTAGGCACTGGTCCAACTGGTCGAGAGGAGTGGTGACAAGGCTGCCTTTGTGTCAAGAGGAGGCACAATGTGCCGGTGCCTTCCCGAACCAGACAGTGGCTTCCAGGCGCCAGGCGCAACCCTGGCCCCATCAGCTTTGACTTCCAGCAGCGTGGGCCAGGGGCTGCCCCTGCCAACTCCCATCCTTGGTGCTCCGAGTCCTCAAGTGCCTTCAGGCTGAGTCAGCACTGCACGGTGCTGCTGGGAAGGCCCCCCCTGTCCTGTGAGCGTGTGTGGGCGCCTGGAGCCTAGGGGAAGCTGCACCACATGAAGCCAAGAGCAGCCAGGCTGGTCAGGGAGTGCACTCAGGGCTGGGGGAATCCTTTGGGAGGAGTGCACGGTGGATGACACCTTCAGACATGCATGTCGCACAGAACACTCAGTGAGTGCTTGTCAGCTGACGACACACAGCAAGCTTTCACACGGTGCTCCTGTGAGAAACCCGCTCTGGCAGGGCAGTTGGCAAAGCAGTCTCAGGAGACACTGAGGAAGCAGCAGCCCCTCTGGTTTCGCAGTGGATGGAGCCCACAACACCAAGACAGGCTCTGAAGAGGTCTCCTCTGAGCCCTGCATCCCGACTTCTGGTCATTCCTCCCAGAGTGTGCCCCACCTGGGGGTGCCCACTCAGGGGTGAGCCTTGTCCTCTACTGCCCAGGGCTCTGCACACCCAGCAATGCGAGGGGTGGAGGGTGGCCCTGGACAGCAAGCACAGCGAGCATGCAGTTATCTCGAGGCCACGGCCAGCAAAGACTGAGGAAGGCGCCTGGAATGCTTTAGGAAAGAAACCCCTGGCTTTCAGTGGGTTTCCTTCTGTACATTTTTCTCTACCTTCCAACATCAAAGACCCAAACCAGGCACTGTAGTGCACCCATGAAGGGTTTGGGAAACTTCAGACCGAAGGAGCACACCCTGGAGACTGGGAGAACAGCGAAGCTTCTCTCGCAGATCCAGAAACCAAAGGTGAGCCCTCATTCCCTGTGATGGCTGTTTTAAAACTACTCCAAGAGTGGCTGAGCTGAGGCAAAAAAAGTTCCTGCTTTCTTCTCCAACAGCAAAAAGAACAGCATGACCTGGGGAGGGGGACACAAGCTCCTCAGGCACACGACTGTTACACACACACACACACACACACACACACGAACGTGGAGTCAGAGCTCTCCCACGAAGGTGGGTGTGCCATGGACACAGGGCCCTAACAACTGCAAGTTCCACAACCAGCGGCCCCACAGGGGAAAGATTAAGGGAAGCAGCTGGAGGTAGCACTGCCCAATTCCACGCAGGCAGAGGCAGGAGTTCCCGCAGGCCACCTCACGGCCAGGGTCCCCCTGCAGGCTGCACAGGAGGCCACCAGGCCTGTGAATGACACTGCAGCTTTCTGGTGAGCTTGCTAAGACACAAACTGCAGATTTCTCCACGTCCAGGTGGGAAGCGATGAGACTGCAGAGGCACTGAACCCCACTGGTCCCAATCTGCCTCTCTATGAAGACCAGGGTAAGCCCTTCCGATTGCAAATTCCCAGTGAACAGAGCCTAGCCAAAGCCTAAGCCAGGCCTGCAAGCTCATGCGGTGGGGCAGTGCCACAGCAGCACGCAGGCCTGTGCTGGCGGACAGTGGCGCCTGCCCCTTCCCTCCCCTCAGGAGAACAGTGTTCTCTGGCACCTTGCCCTGAAGACAGCAGCAGTGGTCCCAATGCCTGCTGAGCCTGGCCCAGCCTCTGGACGGGGGCCTGCATCCAAGCCCCATGCACACGCCCAGCAGGGCCGTGACCCCATGTGGCCTCGAAGCTGGTGCTGTACATCTGCTCCACTGTGGGGCTTCCCAAGGGTCCCCGTGGACGTCGGTCCCGGCAGCTGCGGACCTGCAGGTCTGCCATGAGGATGTCCACGCGCTCTCCCACCTTTCTCACCCTGCCTATCCCCAATTGAGGATCTTTCAACTTTACAACAATGCAAAAGCAAAACGCATTCAACAGAACCTGACTTCACATTGTGAATTTTAATCCTTCCCTGGTGATGCAGCTTCCGGTCAGCCAGACAACCCCAAGGAGGAAGTGATATTCCAAGAGCGCTGAGCAGTGATGCTCAGGGCAGTCGATGCATTTCTGACTCGGTGTATCTGACGCTAAGCCACAGTAAACTGAAGAGTGCCTGTGCACATGCTCGGCAGAGAAGCCTCCGCAGAGAAACCGCCCTGCCATAGCTGCCTTTCTCCCTCCCAGGCTCTGGCCCAGCCCGTCAGGTCTTGCCATGCTTCTGGTGAGACGCAGAGACATCAGCAATCTGCCGGTTACTCACATCAGGTGTTGGGACATGGGCTTCTGAAACACTTTCCCAGCCATACGGGAAAGGAGAACTGAACCCTCAACGGGCCCAGAAACATGATTCAAACCTTCCAGAAACATCCTGTCACCTGCAGTCCCCAGAGTAAGTCCTCAGGTTAGCTGTGGCTTGGTCCTACCAGGCACCCCTGACTCCGGGAGCCCAGTCCCTTCTGGAACCCTTCTGGATTTTCTGCTTGGGTTCGGCCGAGCTTTTTCAGGCTCCTGATGAATCCCATACATGGTACTCCAGGAGCTGAACCAGCACGGCTGAGTAAAGCTTCGCACTGCTGTGTGTGCAGCAAGCACGCGCCAGCTGGGAGAAGGGGAGGAGACCGGGATCTGCCCGGTCACACTGTGAGACCAACGAGGTAGTCCCAGAACCCTTAGGGGAAGACAGCCCCAGGCAAACAGTTCCACTCTGCACATCTGATGCACGGCTCTTCTCCGCAGACTGATGCAGGAGGGCGAGGGACCCAAAGAGCCGTTACCTGTTCTCAGTGTGTGCTGCTATGCACACAGTAAGCTCTCTGGACACCAGTCTCCTCTGTAAGCCTAACTACTCTAAAAGCACCACCAAAGAGCTGTGGGCCTCTCCTGCCCTCCCGCAGCGCAGCACTGAACCGCACAGCAACAGGGATGCGCCTCCCCCTCACTGGGGGAAACACTCATACCCAGTTTGGGGACGGGCTGCGTATCCCAGAACTGGTAGCTTCGTTTGCTGGCCTCCTCCATGGTTTTGGCAGGTCCCTGGCCCACGGAAAACAGCTCAATGGCCTTCTGTATTTCCTGGATCCTCTCTGCTGGCAAAGAGTTCATCTGCACAAGACAAAGTTGGGGCAGAAAGGGCCACTGCATTAGTAAGACTTCTGATTCACTGAGCTCAAGAAGGAAGGGGTACGGTTCCCCTGCCCTAGTCACAGAGGTCCAATACAATACTGAGAAAGTGGCCACCATGAGCTAATGGTGCCACCTCGGTTTCTCCCCTTCCTAAGTAAGTTTTTGTTGCTTGATAACAAAAATAACACATGCTTAGGGAAACTTTTTAAACCACACAGAAATGTGTAAGACACACAGAAAGTAACCCTAACAATCCCATCCCTCAAATATGATTTTTTTGGGGGGAAAGGGTCTGGTTATGTAGTTCAGGCTGGCCTTGAACTCCCTGTGTAGCTCAGGCTGGCCTCGAACTTGTAGTGATCCCCCTGCCTTGGACTCCCATGTGCTGGGATTACAGGTATGTGACACTACCTGTAATCCCAGCGACTCAGGAGGCCAAAGCAAGAGGATCACAAATTCAAAGCCAACCTGGGGAACTTAGCAAGACCATGCCTCAGAGTAAAAAATAAAAAGAGCTGGGCAGAGGCTGAAGGTATACCTCAGTGGTATAGAACTTGCCTAGCATATTCGAGGTTGTAGGTTCAATCTCCAGCATTATAAAACAAAACAAATACAAAAAACCCTGGAGGGGGGTTATGCTGGCATGTATACCTCAGTGCTCCCTGGGCTCAATCGCCAGTACTGGAAATCAGAAACAAAAAAACCATCATGTCTTGAGCCAGGCATCAAGGTGCAGGCCTGTAATCCAAGTTATGGGAGATGAAGGTAGGAGGAGCCAAAGTCCAAGGCCAGCCAGCCATTTAGCAAGATAAAATTCAGAGGGGGTAGGGTATAGCTCAATGGTGCTTTGCGCTTCGCAGGGGAGGGGCCTAGTTCAATCCTAGCACTGGCTTTGAAAAGACGCTGTGTTTTAGAGTCTTCCAGGTGAGGATGCAGATCAGCCCCTCCTAACAACCAAGCCCACTCTATGTATCCACCAGCCCTCTACTGATGGGCATCTTGGTGGTTCTGCTGTTTAGTTTTACAAGCAATGCTGCAAGGAATTTTCTTGTGCTTCTAGTTTTGCTCACTGTGATATGTATTCATGTAGGGCAAATTTAAGCAGGCTGGCTGGGTCAAAGGGTTGGTACTTAAACTATAAAATGTATCATTATCTTGCTCTCTAAAAGGAGAATATCAAATGATTCAATGACCAGCACAGGAGGAACAAGTTTCCCAGACCCTCGCTGTTAGGTCTACCAAACAACAACCCTGTTAATCCAGGAGAAAAATGTTTCCATGTTAGTGTCCTTCACTCTGAGTTTCAGCACCTTTCACTCATTGGTTAAACGTGGTACTGTGTCTTTATGAGTTCCCTACTCATTCATGGCTCCTGGGTCTTATGGCTGGCTTACGATAATGACCAGTTCTACTCCACTTCAGGCTGTAAAGAAAAGGGATGGGCCAGGGCTGCAGCTCAATGGCGAGTGCTTGGCTCTCACATGGAAGGCCCTGGGTCTATCCCCATCTCACACAGACACACTCACACGCTCACACACACACACACACACACTCACACACAGAGCCTGCGTGAGCATGAATACACACAAGGGATTTTTTTTTCTTCTTCTTGCTATGTTTTTACAGAATATACTCTGCACAATGAACTATGTCACCGTGATAGAGAAGAAAGCAGAAGAGCAGCCGTGTGAATAGAGTCTGGGTAAAAATGCATTGGGGGATGTGACTCAGTAGCACGGTGCACACTTAGCTCGTGCAAGGGCCCGAGTTTCGTTCCCAGCATTGAAAAATGAATAAAATAAGTCAGTTAAAAATCCTCATTTCAAAGTTAGGCTGAGCTGCAGTCCTCATGGAGTCATCAAACACGCACTCCCAGAGGCTCAGAAACACTCAGAAACACCCTACAGCCCAGAGCCGGGAAGAGCAGCTGCTGGACGACTGGGAAGTCGCCTGCCCGCTGCACAGGGCGCCGCCACGCAGGGACGGCAAGGCTTCAGGCTGGCCTGGCAAGAGCATGGCTGCCCTGTGGTCCACAGGGAGAGGGGCTGGGATCAGAAACAGTCAAAAACTACCGGAAGCTGCCTCAGTAGGTAGAAGACTCAACTCAGAACTCAACATCTGAGACACAAAGCACAGCATGAACACACTGGAGAAAGAGCAGCTTTCCGGTGATTCCACGAGGACCTGGCAGCTACGCTCTGCACTATGTCCCTGGGGCCTACCTTGGAGAGGACCACACTTAGCCTGAAATACAAGGCTATGCAACGTCGCTTCTTTCAGGAACAAAACCGCCCTTGCTGCTACCTCTGGGTTGCACCCCGGTGTACTGGTCTTAGTGTGTGTACTCTGGGCCAGCAGAACCCTAGGATCCTGGGAACTCCTGGTTTTCATGACAATCACCATGGCAACTGAGAGAATGCTTCCAGATGGGTAAAGGTCTACCTTCAGAAGAGGGCTAGCTTGGGGCCAGGGACTTAGCTCAGTGGTTCCGCCACCTGCCTCGCAAGCACAAGGTCCTAAGTTCGATCCCTGGTACCAAAAGAAAAAAGAAGAAGAAGAAGAAGAGGGCTAGCCAGGCCTGGTAGTGCACACCTGTGATCCCAGGACTCTGGGAGGCTGAGGCAGGAGGATCACAAGTTCCAGGCCAGCCTGGGCAACTTAGCAAGACCCTGCCTCAAAATAAAAAGGGATGGGGATATAGTCCAGTGGTAGAGTGGTTGCCTACCATGCATGACGCCCTGGGCTCAATCCCTGTACCATAGAAGGGGGGAGGAGGAGAGGGAGGAAGAGCAGAAGGACAGCAGAGCTTTTCTACAGACAGAGGTGGGGACCAAGGCAGAGCGCTGAGAACTCTGCTCTAGGAGCCAGGGCTGCCGCCCGGTCTGTGCTCATGGCAACGGGCCCTGCACACATGCAGGGTGCACTATGCTGCCCGGGAGTGGGTGTCCAGTCTCTGTGTCTTCTAGGGGCCAAGAGCAACTTGCTCACCAGGTCCGGGGCAGCAGGGCTGGCACTGAGCCCCTGCCCACCCCAGAGTGGTGTCAGGCGCTGTCTCTGCACTGCCCGCACGCTGCTCGGAGAGGCAGCAGGAGAACAGAGCCTCCTTGTTACCTTCACAGGCTGATCCTGGGCTGGGTCTGTCTCACCGCCTTTTTCTTTCTTCTTTTTTTGTTTCTTTTTCTTCTTTTTGCCTCCAGTGTCATTGGCTGGACTCAAACCACTGCAAGACAAAGCCAACAATGATGCAAGGTTTCCAAGGTCACTGCCCTGGGCCACAGGACAGAGGGCTTCTGTGGAGTGGCCCATCCCTCCTAAGCCGCTGACTTCAGACAGCTTGGAGGCTCCAGCATCCAGGGGCCACTTGGAGGACAGGGTGAGCACAGCTCTCCTCTCACGCCTCCCTCGCCCCGCCTCGGCCTCACAGGCTTCTGTGCTTCTTTCCCTTAGACTGCTGGGCCAGCAGCACCACGGCGCACGTCCATTTAAAGGGGGACAGCCACAGGCAGCATTCCTCCTAAATGCTGGGTGTGCGTTCTCCACAGGAACACACCCAGCACAGAGTGTCTGTGTCACCTACCAGCTTTCCCTGCCTTCCTGAAATGCACAAGGCTTCCCGAGTGTCTCCACCTTGGCTGACAAACAGGCAGCATGGGAAAGGGCAGGTCGGTGTTGCTATGACCTGTGTCAGGAATGGCCAGTCGGGAGACGCCCAAGCAGGCTCAAGGACGGCATCAGAGCCTCAGACTGTGTGAATGCCAACGCGAGCACGGTGCTCAGTCCCGAGAAGATGAAACCACACAGGAGGCCCTGGCTGCTCCTGCCTTGGGAGGGGACATGGGAAGTGCAGGTGGGGGCAGGTGACAAAGGGATGTCCCTCAGACCATGCAGCGGAGGGTCCTCAGCCACACTAGAATCAGGGCTGGGATATGGCTTGGCGGAGGAGCTCTTGCCAAGCATCCCTGAGGGCCACAAAGGGTAATCTAAAACCACCGCTGCAGGCTCCTTTCTCGTTCTTTCTTGGGACAGCCTCCCTATGTAGTTCTGGCTGGTCTCAAACTTCCTGTGTACCCAGGCTTGCCTTGAACTCACAATCTTCCTGCCTCGGCCTCCCAAGTACCTTGAGTACGGGCTACACTACCATGCCCAGCTTACCACTGCTTTTTTTCTTTTTTTTTGCCATGCTGGGGAATGAACCCAGGGCTAGACAAGCACTCTACCCCAGTGCTTACCACGTGCTTTTAAAACATGCCTTCAGAGTCATGTCTTCCTGTTCCTGGCACATATAACTTAGGGTGGTGCAGAAAGACTGGGATGCTGGGAGCTCTCTTCAGTAGAGGCTGGTCTCTGTTGGTCCAGTGTAAGGGCTCGAAGTCTGGACACAGAGGCACCTGCCAGTGCTCTGTTAGTGAGACATGGCGGCACCACGGGGGTCACTGGTACCACTTAAGAAGAGGGAACAAGCACTTCCTTGGAGCCAGAGGCCCAGCAAAACCCCAGCACCCTAGCAAGGAACAGAACCCAGGCTGAGATTACCTCTCCTCCTAATGACACACAGGCCCACCGCAGCTGTCACAATTCTACTTGACCGACTTGGAGAGACCCTCACCAAGCTCAGGATCATATGCAGTGTTGTAAGGGTTAAAAACAGACTGATGAGCTGGGCATGGTGGCGCACATACACATCTATCATCCCGGCACTCAGGAGCCTGAGGCAGGAGGGTCACCACCAGACCAAGGCCAGCCTGTGCTACACAGAGTTCAAAGCCAGGCTGAAAAAAAGAGAAGCATCCCAGGAAGCTAAGATCACAGAACAGCTTTACCTGGGATTTGGAGAAAAATAAAGTGCAGGATCCACCAAAGCCAGGCTAGTCCTCTAAAAGACTTGGCTTTTCCTGGAGACAAGGTCTCCCTATGCTCATGTTGCTCAGGCTGGGCTCCCAGTCCAAGTGACCCTCCTGGCTCAGCCTCGGGTGACTATAGGGACAGACTTCCACACCAGGCTTTGCCTTTTTCTTTCTGTTTCTTTTCTTTTCTTCTTTTGGTACTGAGGATTGAACCCAAGGCTTTTGCATTAAGCTATATCTCCAGTCCTTTTCTTAATTTTTTATTTTGAGACAGGATCTCACTAAGTTGCCCAGACTGGGCTCAAACTTGTCATCCTCCTGCCTCAGCTTCCAGAGTGCTGGGATTACAGGTGTGTGCCACCACTTCTGACTTCTGTATCATTTCTACATGGACCCGAGGCCAGACTCAATGCTGTGTGGCTGTAGTCACAGCACTCAGAAAACTAAGGCAGGAGGATCTCGCAAGCCTAAGAGTTTGGGGCCAGCCTGGTAACACAGCGAGATCTCGGTCTCTACCAAAAAAAGAAGAAAAGACAAAAAAGTGACCTGAAATCCTGGGGGAGCATCCTATGGAGGCCAGGATGCAGCTGCTCAGATGGCCCCAGCAGTCACCTGGGTACTCTGCAGATGGAATCTCAGAACCAGAGCCCACAGTACAAATCAAAGTCAACTTGTTCCATCTGATTCCAAAATAGGAGCAGAAGATGAAGTGAAATTTTCTTTAGAAATTTTGGAATTTGCATTCTTTTTTTTTTTCGGTACCGGGGATCGAACTCGGGTCCTTGCGCTTGCGCTTGTGGGACAGGCAGCGGAACCACTGAGCTAAACCCCCAGCCATGGAATTTGCATTCTGATACAAATAGATCAACTCAAGTCACCAATGACCAACCCAGTAAATATGGACAGGTCAACAGTGTGACAGATTCAGGAACAGGGAAAACGGCAACTAAAAAAAACCCAAAAAACAAAACTGGAGTCAGGAGGCTCAAAAGTTTGAGCTCAGATCAAGTAACTCAATGACCTTGTCTCAAAATAAAAAGAATTAAAAAACAAAAAGCACTGAGGATGTAGCTCAGTGGGTTCCATCCCCAGCACCACATGAAGGTCTACAATTTTAAGTTCAAACACGCAAGAACCCCCGTGAACGCTCTTGTGTAAAGTTGGGGCTGGAAGGGATCGGCGCAGACCCGCGTGGGCAGGCGGGACAGCCAGGACAGGGGACAGAGGTCAGGCGGCCCAGGGCCCATGGCGGCCTGCAGCCTTGTCCCACGCATGTCCACGGGCCTGGGGGCTGGAAGGAGTCGGAGTCTCCAGCCCGAGCTGTTCTAGTGCAGGAGAAAACCAAGGTGAGAAGGGGGCCACCAACTAACAATCAGGACCTAAGGACCGGTTACCCATCTGCAAACGCTCCCACCCCAACTGCTGCAGTCCACCCCTGCAGTGCTTTATCTGAGAAGCCTCCAAAGCCGGAGGAGTATCCTCCACCCCCTTTTTAGTTTTATGAGACAGGGTTTCACTATGTAGCCCAGGCTGGCCTTGAACTCAGGCGATCCTCCTTCCTGCCTCAGCCTCCTGAGCTCTGGGATGACAGGTTTCACCACCATACCTGGCAGAAGTTTATCATTCCATCACCCAAGGCCTCTTTCTGTGTGGGAGAAGCAGGCGTTACAAGCCAGAAAGCTGCCTCTGACTCTTCCAGCCCTGCCTACAGGGTTCAAAATGCTGAAGCGGAGTGTCACAAGTTCAAGGCCAACCTGGACAACTACAAAGAGTCCCCATCTCAAATAAAACAGAGGAGCAGAGGGCCACAGTGCAAGGGGAGGCTGCTTTCTTTCTTGTTTTTGCTTTTTCTCAGAAAACCAAAAATAAATAAATAAAAATAAAAACAGCTGGGAACGTAACTCAGTGGGAAAGCGTTTGCCCACTGTTAGGCCCTGGGTGTAAACACACACACACACACACACACACACACACACACACACATCCTAGCTGGGAACGGTCATCCACAGTTCCAATACCAGCTACTTGGAAGGCTAAGGCAGGAGGGCCACAAATTCAAGCCTGGCCAGGGCAATTTAGTGAGAATTTATCTCAAAATACAATCAAAATAAAAACAGGGCTAGAGATAAGCTCAGAGCAAGACCCTGGGTTCCGTCCATGATACAAAATAAAATAAAAATCAGAGAATGGGGCCCACACCTTGTACAGCTGTCCCCTAGCTTCTGCACTTGTGCACAGCACACAGCTAAGAGTTTAATGATCACATGATTGGCGGGCGCTTCCTAGGCCTAATAGCCTAGAATAGACGCTGAAAAGCTGCGCCCAAAGGAGGTCGGCACTCATCTTTATTTCTGTCCCACAGGGCAGCTGTTTGTATTCTCAGAAAGCAGGGGAAATGCTGCGCTCTCGTGAGCGGCTGGCTGAGATTTTAAATTGCTGACTTTCTGCTGGAGGGGAGGCCACCCTGTAATCCCAGCTGCTCAGGAGGCCAAGGCGAAGAAGGGTCGGAAGTCAGAGGCCAGCCCGAGCAACTCAGCAAGACCCAGCCTCAAAATTAAATACACGGTGCTGGTGATGTGCTCAGTGCTCCCTGGATTCAACCCCTGGGCTGCCAGGGGGAAAATCAAATGTCTCTCTTTTCTTGAGACCAGGACTCTTCATGTGGTCCAGTCCAGCCCCGAACTCGGAAGGGAGCTGCTCAGGCTGGCCCTGAACTCATGGTCTGCCTGCCTCAGACTCCAGGGTTCAAATTCCTCACTGTTTTCTTCCTCCTCAGATCTGTCCTGCTCCTAGAAGAGCTAAAACAAAAAAGCTCTACTGTAACTATTTCAAATGTGTCAGTGCCTTAAACACAGACCACAGGTGTATGTGATTAAAAGAAATGAAATGAAAAAAATAAAATTTACAATTTTTGGTCTGTACTTTTCTACCCTAAAAAACTGAACGTTAACTCTTTGTGTTAAAAGTTTGAATTTTCCAGAGAAACTCAGTAAAGTAAATCCCAACCTCTTAACTTCACTTTTAGACACCAGGATTTCCTTTTACAAAATTATTCACTCTTGAGGGAGATGCATCCACCAGGGACCCCACCAGTCCTCACAACGCCAGAGACCCCAGAACAAAGAGACAGGCTGAGGACACCAGGAGGAAGCCACATGGCAGGAACCAGGCCCACCACCTGTGCTCTGGTCGCTGTGGCTCAGGATCACTCGACTCAATACCCCAAACCCTGCACATCCCCACCAATGGTTACTGAGATAAAAAAACCAAAAAAAGCAAAAAGCCTGCTTGTGAACCCTAAATGTGGGAGATGCAGCACTGCAATCCTGCATTCAGGGTGCCTGGGTGCCTGTGAGAATAGCAGCTGTGCAGGGAT